TGGGCTAAAGAAGAGCTCAAAAAAGCCTAATTCTGATAGATTAGAGTATTGAGAAGCTCCTGTTCGATTTAGAACGTAATTAGCCTCAAATTGAGGCAGTTCTGTTGGTATGAATGTAGGCAGTTCATCTGTACATTCTGGCGCTGGAGCGATCACTGCCAAGGCCTGATCGACATCATTTCGATCGATTGCAGACGGGTCAATTCTGCTTCGTTTTGACCGTTTAGTAACTTGTTCGAATCGCGGAGGTGAGCTCGATCTATATCTCAGAGGGATCTGGGTATTTCGCTGTGGTTGTAGCATATTTCGTGGTTGAAATCTCAAGAGCAAAGTCAGCTGCGGAGCGTTGTGTAGATCGAATGCGGCTTAAAAACCTTAATTTGAAAATTTTACGCTAATTGGCACATTGGGTACGGAGGGGATAGAAATCTACTACGTAGGACATTCAAATTGTAGTATGGACCAGTCAAAGTGACTTGCGGTTCCAGCAGTAGACTTGCGCACAACTAGTACATAAATAGCAATTAACTAATAATGTATATAATTCTACCGCGCACCCTTATCCTCTGACCGGAATCAAGATTCTCATGAAATTTATCTCAAAACGAAAGAGAGACAGACCCTAAAGTATTGTCTAAGATTTGTGTTATCACTCTTAATAGTATCAGCAAGGAAAGAGAAGCTGTGAATCTTTACCAAGACCACACAATTTAGTTAAAGTTTCAACACATCTTTCGGGTAAGGTGTTGCGTTTGAGGATCACTTAGGCTACCATACGTAGTAAAAGTCTTTGTGTGTCTTATCCCTCTCCTGTACGGAGAGTCAAAACCTTGAGGCTCTGCTGTTGCTTTGGACTTGCACAGTTCTTGACCGAGTTGGAGATACTGCATAGGTGATGAGCTTGTCTGAGCCCCTCCTCCCCCTCCGCCTCCATTCATGCCTAACCACGCAATCCTGGCCCCTTAGCTTCTGAGCTCAGGGCCAGTAAGGCCGACGCTGATGCTGCCTTAGGAATTTGCGACTCGCTCTGGTGAGGCCGAGTTTTGCTCAGGGTTATAGGGTATGGTAGCACAAACCCCGCGGTATGGGTGAGCATTTGCCTCCCAGAAGTCCTTACCGTGCCTGGTCCTCCTTCTCCTCTTTACGGAGTGTTAATCTCAACGTTTGAACCTTACTCCACTCCGTAAGCATAGCCACTGCCCGATTCTAAGGCTTAGTGAGGCCTGAACACCTCGCCTCTTCTTCGTAGCCTTATGACACCGTTGCCGGAAAATGGCCTACGCCTGGCGATATTTCCCATGCTATCGACTGACCCAAGACGATTTGGAGAAATACTTGAAGAGGAAATTTGGAGACTGGAACTTCTACATCCAGGTTGTTCTAATTTATTTATGACCAGACTCCGACTGAGTGGATGGCAGATTACCGAGGGTGAGCGTTACCAGTTCTGGATAGAGAGAGACCTGACAAAAGTAAAGCCTTCCCCAGTCTGTTTTCGCTTGCTCAGCTAGCTGACTGCCGGCCCTTCGGCCCCTTGCCGAACAGACTGAGGAGGATGAGATAATGGATTTGCGGTGGTAGGCTGGCACCAAGCAGGCAACGTCTTGAACCTGCCTTGCTGCGAAGGTGTACTCGTGCGCTTGTTCACAGGATGTGGGCGTGTTTACAACAATTTATGGCCCCGAAGGGTGTGAGACAAGCATAGCCACGCCGTTTCAGACATTCGATGATGTGGTTTTTGACGCTGGTACTACTTAATATCAGGCCGTCTCGTGACATATAAAGAAATGGAGAACCTTCTAATGTTCTCCAAAGCTTGTCATTCTTGTCTGTAAGAAGTAAGTTAGGTCAAATGGAGGAGTTGATTCATTCTTATCGAGCGGCAGCGGATTACCCCCAAAATCTTGTCGATCATCACACCTACCAGCATGTTCTAGATTCATATGTGAATCAATTGAATGACAGAGAAGACAATCTATTCTGTGGTCCAAGCAAGGTCCTCATCAATTTCTGGCAATTTGATCATGAATCTCAAGGTTCGTCACCTGAGAAATGCTTTGGATCCACAGGCTTGAAACTTAATCACCTTTTAGGTTTCTGGGATAGGGCGGTACGCAACCCGGCGGAGCTACAAGAGCAACTTCGTATTGGGTGCACGCCGCAGCGACTTGATCCCAGATGTCGCTTCATGTAAGTCATTGCAGTCAACATTAGGAGCACAATTGAGGCTAAGACCTGCGTGCAGCTTTTTGCATGCACCAAACTCGAGGGAAAGACTCAACGTTAGTCGTGAGATGTATCTCTCTCTCATGACCTACCATCAAGTCATGCCTTCATTCTTGGATTTTGTCTTGTCGTATGGCAGACACCAACATGCACAAGACTTCCATTTCGTGGGCTTTAGGCATGAATCTAGCCTGCCCTCGGTGCAAAGAGGACTAAGAATCCCTGAGCTTGGTCGATCAGGCCGCAGGATCCAGTTGTGCTACAGCTTCAGCTCTGTAGAGCCGTCAGCAAGGCAGACCAGTTGGCCGTGGTCCGTGCGCCAGACTGCTACCTACCATTCTCTTGACCTGGAAAGTGGTCACTCCACCTGGATTGTGGTAAAAGGTGATCAGCTCATGCACGAGAGAGTCATATCGGCAACGAAATCTCCCCATGTTGCAGATCTGCGCTCGTTTCGAACGCTTCAGGATTCCGTTTCCTCCTCATTCGCTACTCATCTCATCTTCTGTGATTGGTCCGCAGAGAACTGGCGATGGTATATCAACTTTCTCGAAGACCAGGTCCAAGATACAACGCGTAGAACTGTGGATATCCCAGTATCGAAACCATTAGACCAGATTCCGACCATCACGCCCCTCCCCACATCCCTGCAAGGCTTGTCGCAGAAAAAGGCGAAGCCAAGACCCTCCAGATTTAGTCGGAAGAACATCCACCGGCAGCATAGTACACTGTCACCTTCGCCAGCTGTGTTGAATGTACCTACAGGACCTCCCGAACCTCCTGAACGGCCCCCCGAGGCTACTTTGAAGAAGGAAGATGGTCACGGAGGGTTCTCTTTCAAAGACTTGCAAAGGATCCAATTCATTGAGGAACAAGCAAATGAGACCCTACTCGTGCTGAAGAATAACACAAACATTCTGACTGAATTGACGGAACACTATTCTTCGGTGATGCAATCAGAAGACTGTCCTCAGGAGATAGAGCAGCACTGCAAGGGTCAGTTTGCTCATTTCGGGAGTCGCATTGTGAGCGTCCAACATGATTTGCGGATGCAGCAATCGAGAGTGGAGACACTGTTGCGAATACTCGCTGATCGGAAAACACTTGTATGTATTTCCTCGCCCCTGTGTCGCGCAGACTGTTAATGACTTGTAGCTGTATGGCATTCTACAATTTAGAAGCATGGAAGCAACCAATGTCCTGGCGGAGAAGGCACAACAGTCAACAGGCAAGATGGGGCTTCTGACGGAAAAGATGCATGAAGTGGCCATCAAAACCAAGCAGGAGACCGTCTCAATGAGGATAATCACTCTTGTAACATTGTTTTTCCTTCCAGGCACATTCATATCGGTGAGCCATCGTTCGTAATGAACAACACAAGCCTGTACTTACAGTTATAGCAGACACTGATGAGCACAGACATCGTCAGGTTTCCAACCGCCAATTCAGCAAAGCCGGAGAGAGTCTTTTGTCTTGATGCCTTAAAACTATTCCTTGCCATCACGTTGCCGTTGATGTGTGGTACATTCATGGCAGGCGGGCTGTTCTACTGGATTACTACTTTGAGAGAGCGAATGAGATCAAGTGGTGGCGAAGCTGGTGCATATGACTCGCGTATATCTTGAAGTAACTTGAGAACATGAATGGGGACCGAAAAGCTTCCCTTGTGCAATATCCGCCCCCAACTGGCTTTGCTAGTGACTAGTTCACTGCAGGCTAGCCATAAGTATAGCTTCAGCCTCACCAGGTAAGCCTTGTCGGGTGGGCGGAGGTATCGATAAACCCACAGGCCCAAGGAAGGTAGGCAGGCCTCGGATTCGCTTTGCAATGGTAGCTGCCTTGCGCTCCCCTCATATATATGCGGAGGCTCAGGCATCAAGAAATCCTCCCACACCTCTCGCTCCGCTCATATTGGCGCATACATCACACTTCGGTGCCTGCTCAGGGCATCTGGCATGATGCCCAACGCGTCTTCTCAGCCCGAATACCACCCCGACATCTCAGAATTCTTCGGATGGGTGCAAGCTCACAGTGTCCTAGGTACTCGAGGTCCAGATTCGCTCGCGGAGCACCCATTTATGCCACGTCCACGCCTGGAGGCTTATCTCAAAGAGAACGGTAGAACGAAGACGCTCCTCCGGGCCCTATTCCCCGGCCGCGATCCTCCCATAGCGCCCGAAGAAATCTGGCGCCATTGCATCAGTGTCTTTGCTATCCTTCTCCTGATCGGTAAAGGGACTTTCATCGAATACTTCTTAAAACACGATCAACTCTGGGATTCGAAACTGCCCTTCATCTCCGACCATTGCTTTCCTGTTACCACTGGCAATGACTCCTTTTTCGAATCGTTTTGCAAACAGCAGTGGCATTTCTGTCCTTACACTTTTCGTCGGAATGTTATAGACGCACATCTAGAAAAAGAATGTATCCTACCCATTGTGAGCAAGGACCTGCTTGGCGAAGGTGGAAGTGCATCCACGTATAAAATCAAGCTTCACCCTGCCCACGATGACCTCTCGGCTTGCACTGTCAACGGTGGTGTACGGTTCGCTCTGACCTCAGATCGAGATGCTCTGTGTGCTGACCAAGTGTGTATAGGATCCTGGCTGCCAAAACGAAAAGACATATGTATTGAAGACATATCGTTTTAGGGATGCCAAGGATAACTACGAATCCGAAGTGAGGGCTTTTCGGGCTCTAAGGCCCGGTGGTTCCCTTGGAAAGAGTATCATAGGATTCTATGGGAGCTACGAACAGGATGGATCCTACAATGTGTTGCTTGAATACGCCGACCGCGGCACATTGGAGAACTACCTAGCGACTACTCCTCCACCTTCCACTGCTGAAGATATATACACGTTCTGGAAGTCCTTGTTCAATGTCATCAATGCCTTGAACTTGATACATAACGTATCAGGCGATGCTCCCGATGACCCTCCAATACTCCAGGGGTAAGTTTTCCACACCGACGGTTTCGGTATGAAGTGGCAAGTGCTTATCGGGCAAGATAGATGGCATCAAGATATAAAACCTACAAACATTCTCGTCACAAGTGGTAAAAGCCAATCAATCTACGATTGTGACTTTAAGATTGCAGATCTCGGTCTCAGCCACTTCCGGAAATTACGGGCAGCACATGGTGCCGCCACCGACAAAGACACAAGCGGTACCCGTGAATATGGTATGCTTTTTGTGGTCAGACCCAGCCCTTTGACCTGCTGATAATTATATAGGTGCTCCAGAATGCTACAGATTTGCTGATTTCATGAAAAGGAGCCCACTTAACGTTAAACAGGCTGTGGATATCTGGTCATTAGGTTGTGTTTTTTCCGAAGTCGCTGTATGGGTTGTGCATGATAAGGACCGCCTCGATGGTTATCGTCAGATGCGACATGACGAGACCAAGCAAATATATGGGTTCAAAGATGGTCGAGCTTTCCATGATGGCGAAAAGGTGCTTCAATCTGTCGGTATTATACACACAGAAGTCCTTAAGAATGTCCGGCGATCTGATCATGTTACTCGATCTGTGGTCGAGAAAATGATTACAGAGATGCTGGACGAAGTTGACGGGCGACCAAACACAAAACAATTATGGCTGAAGTCCACATCCATTTTGAGGGACGCTGAAACAAAAATCGTGGCGGCCAAAGGGGGAACCCAAATAGTAGATTCCGAATCTCGAAGAAAAACACCACCTATAACCCCTCCGGATCTCCCTCACTCCCAATCTGATCAGCCTGGTCGAAACCGTATACCCAAGCGCTGGTCATCTCTCAAGCGACCTAGGGAAACGCGCGCAGCAACATTTGATGTTCCTGCCCGAGAACATATCCCTAGCGTGGAATCGAATGCGGATGATGCACACGAGACGCATGACGAACTGCTCGATAACACCCCAGCAACGCGATCAAGCCCTCAAGATCTTCGTGCCGCCACTCACAGTCTCCCTCCAAACTCGTTTGGTGACGCTGACCACTATCAATTTGCCCACAAAGTGCATGACAAAAGTGTAGAGAGTTCTGTTCCGAAGCATTCTCCAACACGGAACGGCAAAAATCGCGAACTCGCTCCAACGAAACATAGCGACTCAGCGTTAGACCCTCTTCAAAACAGTGATGTTACTCATTCCATGACACGTCTGGACATTCAAGGCTCAAATGATAGTTCAAAGCGCCTACAGACGGAAGTCTCACCTCGTCCGCAGGTCGATCTTGATGGTTCGCAATGCCGACCCATTTCGAAGACTGCCACTATTGCACCTGCATCCCCGCCCACTAGGCAATTTACTTCTCAACCACTGCCATACCTCTCGCTTGCGGACGCTGAGAAGTGGATGCCCAAAAGGTGGGAACGGAAGACATCCAACGTCTTAAAAGACGCTTATTTGCTCGATAATCTCAATAACCGGGACCACGTACGTTGTGCTTCTAATGACCCAAGTCGACCTCTCTAACCATCTTAGATATTTCTTGTTGACGACGCTGCTTCCATGCTCCCTTACTGGCGGGACGTGTGTAATGTACTCCGTGTCTTGGCATACATGGTCAAGGGCTCTGATGACGACGGTATGGACTTATATTTTACAGTCTCAAGCATAAATCATAATTCCAAAAAGGCAACCGGCCTGTACAATCAGATCCGGGGAAAGCAGCTCCAGGGTACTTCAGACATTGGGTTGCGTCTGGGCATGATCTTGGATGACTATAAAGCGTCACTTCGTCAGCCCCTCCAAAAGCGGCTGTCTCTCTTAGGGAGAGCGAAGCGAAGGGTACGAAAAGGGCTGAGCGTGTACATCCTCACGGACGCAGTCTGGCAACCTCATTCGGATGCAGGCCAGCCAATTGAATCGTTGGTGAGAACGCTCGTAGAGCTGGACTCTCCTCAAAAGCTGGTAGGGATCCAGTTCATCCGCTTTGGCAACGACCCCGATGGCATCGAGAAGTTGAAGCATCTGGACTCTGGTCTGCGCCTAGAAAGGTATGGGGGCGGACGTCGTTGCCATGAGGCAGCCCAGAAATGGAAATGGCTAACGAACTCCGCAGGGACATCGTTGATGCAGAGCCGGCAGATGGTAATGTCTGGAAGATGCTCCTGGGTGCGTCTAATAAATGGTTTGACGGTGACGAAGAGGAAGACCACGGAGCCACAACACACGGACACTGAATTGACCCCCTTAGTGTCCAGCTCCAACTCTACTGCAGCCCAAGCCGGAAAAAGTTCTATTCCGTTGCATCGGCTGCTGAATGGTCGAGAAGCGCATGCTTCAAACGACGTTGCTCATCATTTTTATTTTGTCTTCTACACTACGCTATTGCCGCCTCTCTACTTTGGGTGGCGATGGCTCTACTGTCGAAAACGTTGCTTCTGTTCGCGCTGCTGCATGGCCTCCGGCAATTTGCCTCTTTCGTGTATTATTTCGGGTGTTATGGTATTGTTGGTTACAAATGCATCCACAGCAAGCGAGACTGACATTTACTTGATTTACGCAAGATACCCCGGGATGAAAAAGATTGGGATTGGGATGGCTGTTTGCCCACTTTCGGCGTTGGACCTCGGCGTTGGACCGCAGTTTATTGGTGTTTGTTGCGGATGATTTCGGCTGCTGGCAATGTCACTGGCCGTGTACCTAATAAAGTACAGATTGGACATGTTCTTGACAGCTATCGTTCGGAGAGGGCTCATCTTACCCCGGTCAATGAAATATCATGTCAAGAGAGACGCTATTTCCGACTCAGTTTATCGTGGCAGGTTGCTTGGAATGCTGTCTCTGCTGCCTGTTGAAGGCATGTTTTTATGCACAGATACCCGAGGACAAATAAACAGAGAATGACATTACCTTTTCCGCTCTCCACGCGAAAGCTACTCGGACATTCAAAGGGAATAGCCACCAGTTCTATGCATCAGAAGCCGTGCGAAGAGAAGACGAGGCCCCCTTGAAACATAGTCAAGAGCATCTATCCGCCTCAGTTGTAGTCGCTTGGTGTTTGCGATACACGTTTTGGTATATCAAGACCTTACAGCGTGTTCTTTGTCCCCTTTGAGAGGGGACATCATTAATGACAGGGCCGATCCATGAGATTCCTGAATGATGTATCTTTGCTGCCTGTTAGTTAAACGGGATCATTGTAAGCAGACCTCCCGGTAACTTAATTCGATTCTAAAGGTTTTGTGGTAACTACCCTAATTGAGGCATTGCCCGTAACAGGATTTGAGCTCGCTGATACCCGGGAAAATGAAAGGATTGCTTCTCATTGATGGAGATTCTGAAGCTGCGCCGTCCTATTTACGTTTGTGGCCTATTGATCGAGGGGATGGGTACGATAGGAGAGGAGAGATGTAAGAGCTGTTTCGGCAGAGATTGAGGGGTGCACGTATCAAGGGTCATGTAGACGCGAAACGAGAAAATTGCATCACTTGAACAAGTATGACTTGCTGCTGGCAGAGCATGCAATGGCGACATGGTGATAGAGTTGAAAGAAGTTAGGAAGAAGGACCCTGTGGGAAACTGACCGTCATGGCTAGTGACGCCTCCTGATGGATCACAAAGCCAAAAGAAGCTATGCTGCTCGGGACTTGGATGGAAGATGCAGCAAGAGGCAGAGAAAAGTTCTCCGTCGGTACAGCCAGCAGACAAGACACAGGTGGAGGTGATGAGTGCGGAAGAGAGATCAAGTTCTGGGACCAAAGTCTTCTATCCACCGAAAGGACATCCCTGTTCTGTCAATTTGAGAAACGGGGTATCACGGTGCTGCTGCAAAGTGACCATATCGAACATGAAAAGAGCTGCCAGGCCGTAAATGCTAATAAACATGGTGGGCCTTCAGGTACCAATCAAAATGTGAAGTAATGCAGTCACATACTCTCAAACGTAATGACGCATCACGCCAGAAGCATGAGCCGCGACACCGTGAAAACCCCTATGAATTCCAGGTCATGTTCCCCTGTACTTTTAAGTTGCAAAACTGCCAGGCCTTCACACAACAGTGCCAAGACAAGTCATAGGCCCAAAATGAAGAGGGAAAAGAAGACCCCAAAAAATTAATGTCGAGTATGCGGATCGAACGCATGACCTTCAGATTTATATGGCTGAATTCACTTCAGTCTGATGCTGATGTTAGATTTTTGATATCACGAAGAGGATGAGTGCAAACTACCTGACGCTCTCTAATTCCAGAGTTAGTAGTGATGCAGAGGTCAGAATGGGCAGATTCAAACTGTACCCCAACTGAGCTAACTCAACGCCCTTTTTAAACAGAAATGAGACAATAAAGAACTAATAACTAATACCAAAATTTGAGTTAGTAAAACAGCCCGCGTAAGTCCTAGCATCGTCATAAGTTATACAGCACCAACAGTATAGGGACTGGGGTCCCTGAAAGCCCAGCACCATCCTCCGATTCAAGCCCGCTTCTAGGCTGTTTGATCCTTAGCTTAATGCCCAAAACAGTTAAGTTTCACGCGTTTACCAGCTTAAGTCACCCCTTCATCCTAAAAACTATAAGTACCCTCTAACACTAGAAGAGCGAGTTGTTTCTTGTCCCGTCAGTGTACATCGAAGACTTTGATGTATGACTCCGTACAACATAAACGGGACACCAATTGGCGATACGTTCCCAGTCCCCCCACCATCACTCAGGAGGCAATACCATGCCGTCTAAGATATGATAAGTACTATTTCTCAAGGAACTCATCCAAAGTAGAGTTCCACGACATCTTGACGTGCTATCGGGAGGCTTGAATACGACACACATACGGGTATGTGTTCCACAACGAATGCCTGTGAAGCAAGAAGCGACAATCGAAATCGTCAGAGGTTTGAGCAATACACAGCAAGCGCTCTCTTGCACCAGCATTCCCCTATACTACATAGCCAAAAGCTTTCCCGAACGCCTTTGACAGGGCTGCTGCCAGCTATGCTATCCCATTGGCTCCATGTTCATAACATGCATCCAGTTCGTATCACGTGTCACGATATGATCTTTTTCATATCCATTTCTTTACAAATCCAACATACATTGACGCAACTTGCCCGGGCTAACCTAGTGAGCCAACCAAAGACCATCCAGGAAACTCAGCGCCCAACCCCCCATTGACCTACCACCCATCATATCCACTTCCATCATATCTTCTCCTTACACTTCCCGCCACACTACCTGCATCACTCGACCGGCTTTCCGCCCTCCCTCCCTCGGGCGGGTTCAGGTTCGCCTCGCCCAGATCCTCCTGCAATGACGTGCGAGACGGGTAGGGCGGTGTCTCCTGGGAGAGCGATGGCTCCGCTTCTGCGTAGCTGTCGTAGATCTCGGTAGTACTGTATGTTGGAGAGGACGGAGAGTCTTGGTTAATTATACGCAGCCCCGCAGATCCAGGCGTCGAACCATATGAGCTATATCTTGCCTGTTGCGAGGGGAGAGTAGCTCGGCCACGGCCTGCCGGTTGAAGAGGGAGTGGTGGCGTGTGAGATTTCGCGGCTAGAGGGGGTGGTGGTGAGATCATAGTACGTGGAGATCTGGGTGTGCTGTCATAGCCGAGGCTGGGTAGTGGGACAGGTACGCTTTGTGAATCAAGGTTGTGCTTTCCATCATAGTACTCGATGTATGGATTTCCTGCATCCCGATATGGAGAGTCACCTGTCCAGGAAGAGTGGGAGGCTGATGACATGGTAGTAGCTGATGCACCTGGTGTCGTGCCTGCGAAATATGAACTTTGGAGATTATCTGAGGCAGTGACAGTAGTTGGAGTTTGCTCTTGAGGATATGTTGCAGGCTCGCTGGGATTGGTGATTGACAAAGGGGTTGCATGGGTTTGGGCAGGATACTTCATGTTGGATGTCGATGGTTGAGGTGTGATATCATCATACGCGGAGAATGGATCAGCATTAGGATCGTAGTATTTGCTGTCGTCATTCATATCATCAGCTTCATTATCAACATAAGTATTGTAGGGCTGCTGAGCTAGGTCGGGTGTCCCTTCGGAAATAGGATAGGGTTGGTCGTTGAGTGCTACCATTGGTGGGTTGGATGTCTCCGGGGTAGATACTTCTTGAGCTCCATCACCAGGATATCGTGTTGGTTGAGCGGAATTTGGAGGATGCGAGGTTCGATCAGGGGACATGGCATGGCCTTCTCTGAACGCGGGACTTGTCTCCTGCGGAGCAATCATGTGAGCAGGCGACTCCGACACAATGGAGCTTCGAGCCATGTCACCCCGCGTGTGGATGCTCCTTGATAGCACGCTTGCATTGTTCGCCCGCGCCTGTGGTTCTGGAACCTCCATGATCTGGTTTTCTGCGCTATCGGCATCACGAATACCAAACTGAGCAATGGTACGTAATTTCCGCATTACCCATGATACAAGTATTTTTCCTCGCTGCTTCTCTCCAAGCCGGCTTCGTGGGAAATCACCGTTTGACACGAAGGTGACCATGTCAACCACCAGCTGGTGCTCATTAAGAATAGTGTTGACGATGACGGGCACGATAGATGCTAGATATGCCTTTCGAAAGACTTCAATGAGAACAACGACTAACCCGCCAGCTTGGAAAACTGCGCTGCCGCCTGGGGAGATGTTCCGATGACACTTCTCGACGCTGTTTTCAATGTCCATAGGAAAGTGATTCAACCCATTGACTTCGAACGTCTCACCGATGCTGCCAAGGTTGAAAAGCACTTGCATTTCAACGGGTTGGCCTCCTGCACCTATCGGTCTGGTAACGTTGTGCAAAAAACCTAGGTCACCTGTTCGTACAAACGTGGCCATGGGATCACCACCCATAATCCGGCCGTTAAACCTCTCGAGATCGAAATCTTGCTTCGACATATAGAATGATTTTGCGCATGCTTCGCTTTGGACCCAGATCTCGCCATACTCTCCTACGTGGCATAGGTGGCATGTCTCAGGGTTGACAATAGCAATCTGTGTGCTGACAGGAACCATTCCCGAATCTTGAACTAGGAGTGCAGTGGGATCGCTCTCTTGATCAACTGGGTAGACGAGACCACGCCGAAGTGCACGAGTGTCAAGCCAAAGCTCGATTGGTTCGAGCGACATATAACTTCTCGAAGCAATCATAGGGTTGAGAACATGGGAATAGATGGTGTTAATCGCAGTGCGCTCAAGACCAGCTTGAGCAAAGTGGAGGCGAACTCTCTTATCTACTCGCATGTTAGTAGTGGTCAGAGGATACGTAAATCATGCACTTACAGACGTCCGCTTGAGGCCTCGAATCGGCCGAGATCATCATGTTCCGCAATTCGTGAAGCGAAAAGCCTTTCCCTGGCATATTACTCATGGCAAAATCAAGCATCTGACTTGTTGCATAAGTATCCTTGATTTTGTATCTTGCCAACGTCAAGAATAGACTCTGAGGATTCTGCGCAAAGTCCACAGGCGAGATCAAGTAGGTTGGAGCTCCTATATACACACCCATCAAGCAGGTGTGAAGGAAACCAAGACCCATCGTACTCCTAACGCAACCCAAAACGGGTCTTGAGCTGCTCATCTGGCAAGTCTCTTTCTGCACCTTGCACATGCCCAGTATGGTGTCATGTCCAAGCTGGATGGATATTCTCCGCTGATCGGGAGTCCAGTACGTCCAGACGATCGCCGTACTATTAGGGGCAATCCATGCAGGGCTCATCTTCAAGCCAAGATCTCTGCAACCATGTGACTGCTTCGGCGGTTTTGCGGTACTGTATACGGCAGGCACATTGAGCTTGAGGACGTTGGCAGACTGCTTTAAATGTTGGGAGACGAGCTTTTGCTTCAACAAACTGTCAACATCAGCATTGACAATCACGCAGCGCACCGTCATGTCTGCGACAGTATGCAAGAAAGCAGGCGCATCTTCGGCCAAACGATTTTGGTCCAGAGGTGCGATTGGGATAGCCACTGCACCCAGACAAAGACAAGCATAGACAGCAAAGACAAATTCCTCGGAATGAGTATACATGAGTATGACATGGTCGCCAGGGCGTATTTTGACTTTATTCTTGAGGTACATGGCAACACTTGCTACTCGCTGATCGAACTTCTTCCACGTCAGGCCCTTGCCTTCTCTGCCTCGACCATCTACTGTACAGTATGCGAGCTCGTCCGCCTGCCGAGCAACCCTCCACTGCATCAGATCAACGATGCTAGTGAAGTTGTTTAACGGCGTTGAAGTCCGATCGTCAATCACGACTTCTCGAGGGTCTATACCTGAATATTGTTTTTCCTGCATCATAAGGAGCTCTTGTCGAGCGGCGGTAGAGAGTGGTGACCAAATGCCTCCTGATGGATCCTCGCCCACTGGCAAGTTCAGCACAGCTCTCTCCACGCCGAATTTGACATGAACGCAGGGCAGAGATCCATTGTCGAACTCCTTCCGACACCTCATGTTGCCAATTTCATCTCGACCATTCTTGGTAACACGCGGAAGTGTATTCGGCGCAGTGATCATTACACAGTAGACTCTCAAGTGATGCTCTTCCAGCAACACTTCCATGCAGCGTTCAGACAACGAATCTAAAAGGGCAATATCAAGCTGCCGCGGCGGGCCTCCGGAAGTCAATGGCGCAGTCGAGGCTGCATATGATTCGATGAGCACAATCGGAAGATGTTCTTCGTTGACGAACACGTCGAAGGCCGAGCAGTCATGAATCTTAGGGACGTTCTTCATGATGCTCAGGATTAGATGTTGCACGAAGAAATAACGGTGCTCTTGAATCTCCAGACCATGTTCGACCCATTCGACTCGTTGCCGAAGCCGGTCCTCGTACAAGCCGAGCACGAAAATCTTTCCTTCGATGATGGTACCTAGAAGGCCTGTCCTTAGGAATTCGGGCTCTATCGATACTGGTGTGGGGTTTCCTTCCTTGAACTGATAGGGCCGTGCATGGAAGATGTTTTCTGTGTGCTTAGGTAGAGCCCAGAAGCCGCCGGACAACGATGGTGAGTCAACCCAGATCTCGCCAATTGTATTTGGGCTACACAACAAGCTCGTCTCCGGGTCCACGATGGCAAGAGTTGCGTCAGGAAGGGGATAGCCAAACGCACCACATCTAATGGTATTTGGGTAATTGCTGTTTTTCTCCCTTGCTTCTGCGCCCATGGCAACCACGATGACCTCATTTGTTTTCAGTGCCTCTTTATCAAGCAGAACTTCGTCAAGATCTGGTAGAGTCTCTCGCTTAGAAGGCTGTGCTGTCTTCCCACCAATCAAGCTGCTTCCAAAACCCGTTTTCGACTTGGACGTGTCCTCGTGATCCTTGGCCACAGGAGACGCTCCTTTGTCCAATTCATGGATGAGAGAACATCCCATGCGCTCTTCCCCTCCCAGCCAATCCCTCAAACTGATCACCATGCCACCGTGTTCTGGCAGGCACAGCATCGGAGCGACCACCTCTCTTGCCCGTGGATTGCGTAAAGGACGAAGCCATCTATCGGCTAACAACTCATGGAAATCGGAGTCTGCTGTCAATGTATCGATCAGACAAAGACGTACACTCGAGAAATTCGGCTCAATGCCCTTCTTGTAATTGCGAGTTGCCATTGGATCTGACTGATAATTGTAGACAGCCCGTTTGAGACGAGGATAGTCGGCTACCAAAAGAGTAGCTCTGTACTTAGTGATGAGACTGGCATATAAGCCAGGTGTTTCAACCGCAGGTGCCTCGAACCAAATCGTGGTGTGCCCACCATATACATCAAGGAGTATTCCGAGTATCATGCCAATGCCTTCGCGGGGATCTAGGTAGCTGAGGATAGTTTCGCATCTGTTGCCACTAGACATCGATTTTCCTTGCTTGTCTCGTAGTGCTGGATTGAAAGTGTCCCCCTTGCCCAATGGAGCCGTGGAGATGATCGCGCTCAAGCAAGACATTTGATGCATGATCGTTCGATGACTCATCACAACACCTCTGATATCACCTGTGGGAGCCGTCGAGAATTCGATATAAGCTAGGTCTGGTACGACCAGGGGAGGCTCTTCTCCTTTCTTCTTGGGATGATAGCTTCCAAATTCATTGGTCTTCCACCACTCAACCCCACGAGGCCAGTTGAGTTTGGCAGCCGTAATGTCTCGCTGAAAATTCTTCAAGTTGGCTTCCGTTGTCAGTGCTAGATGGGCTTGTGCGGATGTCAAAACAATGTTCAACCTCCGATAGTCCTTCAGATCATTGATAGGAACTGCTACTACACCAGCAATAAAGCAGCCCAACAAAGCGACAGCAAATTCAATGACTTCAGTATCGCGGTATATCAGCGCGACGCGATCTCCTCGGTATAGACTGCTCTTGTCTCTAATAACCTGAGCTACCTTCTCAGCACGACTCCCCAATTTCTCCCAGGTAATCGAAACCAACTCCCTTCCCTTCTGATCCAATACCCAGTAAGCAGGCTGTTTGCTGTTTGTCTTTGCTCGGTGTCTGAGCACCATAGCAATGTTGTCAAATTTAGACATCTCAATATTGTGGTCGTGTGGGTCACAAACATTGAACGGTATGTCTCTTGGCTCCAGTGGTAATTGATGCATTGCACTGCCTCCTGTTGGTAGATCTCCAATACCAAGCAAAGGGGGTGCCATTTGGGCAGAGGGCGAAAATGGTTCCGTCTGGGAGTATCGTTGTCCAGCTCCATAGCTCTCTTGCCTATCATCGAGCTGCTGACCTGTGAAGTCAGAGAAGTATTGCTGCTGCGAGTCCAGCATGGTGGAGTTTCTCGTGTTTAAACCACCGCTCATCGTCCCGTGTTCGTTCTGCTGTTCTGGATTGAATGCATAGTTCTGGCTCACGAGAGTTTGCGATCTCGAAGCATCTGGACTTGTCTCTACTGCCAACTGGTTTGGTTTCGGCAGGAAGAGTGAGTCGTAGGACCCATAAGAGCTCTGCCTTTGAGGAGGTTGCAGTCCGCTAAGGTCTCTTGACTGTGATCTTTTTACATTATTTGGAGGATAGTCGACACTTGAATTCCTGCTGTGTATTGACCCATCGCGATATTGGCCTTCGCCTTTCACCAGGCTCAACGGCTTGGAAACCGCACTTGTGCTTCCCTTCGCCGCAGGATGATCGCTGTCGTCTGGAGAATGGATGCGCAGCCCTCCACGCTGTTGTGCAGTTGGGGGTTCTGGCGGTGCAAGAAACTGCGAAAAGAGGATGGTTCTCCTCTTTTCATAACCCTTTCGCGTAATGTCACCTTCTTCAAACTCGTGGTCTAGCTCTCGGAGCGCAGCTTGCAATTCTGGGTTTGTAGCCATTGTCACGAGACTTCAATGCTACACAATGTGTCAGAGCGCCATAGACCTGAGATGCTCGGTCTTATTTAATCAATTGCATGGCTGCGTCCCTCCTCTCATAACATTCTGTGTACGTAAAGCCAGTGGTGGTGACGATTGAACAAGCTTGAGGAGAGGAACGCGAAGACAGCCGGCGGAATAAGCAGTAAGTTACGGTTCAGAGGTCAATTTGCCTGCGGAGTTGGCGTGGAGAACCCCAAAAAGGCTCCCGCTGAAGTTGCTAATCGATAGATTGCCTAAAGCAGCCCAGTGCCTCGGGTGATCTGCGCCAACAAATGCCACAAATTTAAGGAGCACTCACCAAGAAGTTAAGCGCAGAAAATTGTGGTAGTTATGCTCCCGGGGGGACCAAAGTCTAACATGGGGCTGAATATTCTACGGTCTGTGTGGATGTGACGTCAATAGCCTTCGATGAGTACTTGGAGCCATAGCTTGAACAGAACAATCATGTATAGGTACTGACTCGGATACTGAGAATCCACTGCCCCATCCCCATCCGACCGCGACATGGGAGAAGCATTATCTACCACGGCTGGACCTCACCCTTTCGTGGAGGTTCGACTCTTACAACCTTGTCGCAATTGAGAAGACACATTGGATCAAATGCTTGCTTCAGCTGTTGAGATACTCCAGTCAGCCTCAAACGAGAACGAGGGTGCGGTATATGAGGAACACTTGCCTTCCGCATAGCATCGACGGCATTTCTCCCCAACTCATGTTCTAGATAGTCTCGCTTGATCAATCCCACTCCATGCTCGCCGGTGACTGTGCCTTCCATCTCGACCGCGCGTTTCACCATGCGGTGGACGACATCTTCTGCTGTCCTTCGCTCGGCCTCATTAAAGAGTAGGATAGCTGACAACGATTAGCTTTCATAGTGGACGTCGTATGGTAGGGAAAGCGAGACCGTGAAAGTTTCCATCACCAACGTGTCCTACCATTCCACAGAGCAATCCACTCCTTCTGATGTCTTCTTTCGTCTCTTCTATGATATCCGGCAATCTGCTGATTGGCACAGCAACGTCTGTGGTCCACACATGATCACTTTCATCTCTTCTCATAGCCATTACGCTCCATAGAGCCTCTTTCCTCGCGCTCCACAATTCCCTAGCCTCATCGGCGTTCCTGGCGAAGTCGAACCTTTCTGAGTGACATTGCTTTGCCAATCTTTGTACAGTGCCAATCTGTTCTTTCACGCCTGAGGGTGAGCCAGCAAATTTGAAGAACAGTGTTGGCGACTCGCTCCATTGCCGGCTAGTCCTACCGCTTTTGTTTATGCACCGCATCTGCTCGTCATCAAGAATCTCTACGCCAGCAACCAAAATACCTTCGCCTACCACCTTCGATACGCATTCGGCTGCTGAATGAATCGTTGGAAAGGTTGCAACAGCAACATTTTCGCTCTTCGGCTTGACTGTCACCTTCAAAGTTGCCTCGGTGACGAGTCCAAGGGTCCCCTCGCTACCAATAAACATCTTTGTAAGATCATATCCTGCGCTCGACTTCCTCGGCCGCTGGCGCGTTTTGACAATCGTCCCATCTGCCATCACGACTGTCAGCGACACCACCCATTCTCGCATAGTTCCATATCGATATGCGTTTGTGCCTGAACAGCCAGTTCCCACCATACCACCAATTTTCGCCCCTGGTCCGGGATCTGGTGGAAAGAAAAGTCCGTCTTCTGCCAACACCTCATTCAAGTCTTCCCACCCCACGGCAGGTTGCACCACTACATCCAAATCCTCTTTGTGTAGCGCTTTGATGTTATCCATCCTCATGAAGTCAATGCATATCCCTCCCCTTGTAGGTGCAAAGTGTCCTTCTAGACTCGTCCCTCCACATACCGCGGTGACAGGGATTTTCCTCAAATGACATACTTTCATTATTTCCGAGACCTCCTCCGTAGTAGCAGGGTACACAATCATAAATGGCCTCTCGCCAGGCTTCGTCTGGTAAGTAGACCAATCGGATCCTGAGTGACCAACCAAATCATCGGTATCAGTGGAGACGTTCTCTTTGCCAACTATCTGCGCAAAGTCTACCCAGGCAGCCTGGAGAACGGTGTCTCGCGTGTCATGTACAGGAGGTCGCGCGGCGGAAAGAGGTGTAGTAGACGTTCGAGGGAGTTCTTTTGGTAGTAGAGTACCCATATAGTAAGCCGTGCCGCAGCCCGCGAGGAAGACTGTACGGTGTCAATTCCACACGTCTGATGGCTGCATGCAACCTTACTCACGTATGGTCAAAGCAAAAGTTTGCAAGGCTTTGCTTGGTCCCATTTTCTGCTTGTTCTCAATATATTTGGCTTCCTCTGCTCGCTCTCGTGCTAAGCGCTGCGCAGTACTTTCGTAGAGCTGCCCTCGGAAGGACTTCCTCTCTTCCGCTAGGCATCGTGATGTTCGAAGAAATCTTCGCTGCTGCCCGGTCGATCTTTGAAAGGATATGTGTTGTGTCTTGAGACCTGGTCGTAAGGTCTGATTGAATGTACTTAGAATGGGCTGCCGTGAGGCGCCAAAAGCATTTCTCATCTTGACCACAGAGGGTGTCGTTAGCTTTCCTTGTTTTGCAGCATCGCTTCAGATTCTCCTGTACGTTGCCAATGTGCTTGATGCCTGAGGAGAGTTGTTCCACGCGATCGTGGAGCTTTCAAAGCTCCTCCCTGCGGCCCTTCGGCCCTGCCGATGCGGAGACGTTCCTCCAATTGCCCACGCCCCCGGCTTCTCCAATTCTCCTTTGTCCATACTGTAACGCCGGAAGCACAACAATTGAAGCCCCCTCTGACGTGCTCGGCATTTATCTGAATTAGGTAACATGGCTCGAATATGGGAGAATAAGCTGGCAGAGACCCCACTCTACGATGCGCAGACCTCTTGTTGTAACAGAAGTCGACAAAGTCATCTTAGCACACAGGTAGGCAACATTGAAAGTAATGTCGTTCAACACAATTCCTATCCTTGACCTTTCCCTTGCGCGGTCATCAGAGACCAAAGAATCGTTCCTCGACGACCTGCGGCATGCCCTCCTCGAAGTCGGCTTTTTCTACATCAAAAATACCGGCATCTCCTCTGCTTTGATCCAAGATGTGGTCGAGCAAGGCAAAGCGTTCTTCGACTTACCCTTGGAGAAGAAGCTGGAAGTTGAGATGAAGAATGCGCCCAGCTTCCTCGGATACAATAAATTGGGCATGGAGATCACACGCTTTAAAATAGATTGGAGAGAGCAGATTGATATATCCACTGAGCATCCGGTGCCCGGACCAGATGAACCTCTATATCATAATCTTCTTGCGCCAAATCAATGGCCCGATCCGCACGCGCTTCCGAAGTTCAGACCGACTTACGAGAGGTACATACAAGAAATGGGCGATGTGAGTATGGAGTTTACGAGTCTCATCGCTGAAGCGGTGGGTTTGCCGCGCAATGCGTTTGATCGATTTTTCGACGATGCCCAGCAGCATAAATTGAAGATTGTGAAATATCCGGATCTGGAGGAACTAGGGATAGAAGGCGAGGCGCAAGGGGTGGGACCCCATAAAGATAGCATGCTTACCAGCTATCTATTGCAGGCCAGTCATCACAAGGGCTTGCAGGTGCAAGCACCAGATGGAAGATGGATTGATTGTCCTCCTCTTGACGGAACGTTGGTGGTGGCTATTGGTCAGGGAATGCAAGCCTTGACCCAGGGCGTCTGTCAAAGTACAACACATCGAGTACTAAGTCCAGCAAGAGGATCAGGTCCCAGATTCAGCATTCCTTTCTTCCAAGGTGTGAGCTACGATGCGACTTTTGAAAGTATGGATGTGCCAGAGTCTGTCAAGGAATTGCGGAGCCGAATTCTGGAGCAAAGAGGTGAGAGGATCGATGATATTGAATTCACTTTCATGAGTGGACGATATCATCATCTGGGTGAAGCTACGCTCATGAATCGGATCAAGAGTCATCCCGATGTTGGCGAGAAATTTGTATGCTCCCCCTTGGACATTTTCGTGCCCGTGGCACATGCAGCTTGTTTTTATGCTGATATCCGACAGTATCCTGACCTCCTGAAGAAGATCCGACGACAACAAGAACAAGACCAGAAACAAGCGGGCAAGGCGGAACCTTCAGAACAAGAATTGCTAGATGCAGCGATCAATGTTCACTCATCAGTAATCGAAGCACATTGATATAATCTCTTAAACACATAATCACCCTTCATGGGTACATGACTTGTTCCAAATCTCATACAGCGGTCCCTTATGTCCAAAAATGGGATCCCACTCAGGAACAGGCACTTTCCTTGCCGTTTCAGCCTTCATCCTTGTCTCTTCTTCCCCAGCTTTACAGAAATTATTATCATATTTCGGACTTCCCTTCACAGACCACAAGCAGATTCAGTTATCTCCACCCACACAAAGAGTTCAGGAGGGGTTAGATTGGCCACTCACCTCTGGATACAACCCCAGATACTCATAATCGCCCTCCGAGGTAACAGAGCAGTGGCTCACCCCGGCCTGTCAATCTATCAACAGCCATACCCAGAAGCAAACATGCATTTATCTCTTTTCCCTCACTGCCAAGAACACCCAAACCCAGCCGGCCACGAGAACCAAGAGAGAAAAATTGATACGAAAAGTTCAAGTACTCACCGGTAACACAATAACATCCCCCGTCCCCAACTCAACCTGCACCCCATTCCTCTCCCTTTTCCTTCCTCCCTCGTCTACGCCCCCATCCAAAGGCCCCACCCCAAGCAGCAGCCTACTCCTTCCAGCAACCACCGCATAACACTCATGCGTCACGCTATGAAAATGGTGCGCCCAATACGACTTGAATATCCCGCCATAATACCAATGGTTCGCTTCGATTGCTTGCCTCGCTGCGCCAGCAGCCGAGAATGCGGGAGAGCCTTCTTCCTCTGAGCAAGGATGATTCAACCTCGATTCTGATCCAGCAGTGTCTTCCTCTTCCTCTTTCTCGTTCGGGGGAAGAGGAAGCACGGAACGATAGATCAGCACCGGGAGACGCGAGTTCGGGACGTGAGGGGTCGGGGTGTGGATGTGGTATTCTTCGGGAGGTTGAAGAGGCATTTTTGGCTGGGAAAGATGGTCTGATAAGCGAGGGTACTATGGGCGCATTAGGAGTTGGGAGGATTGGGGTAAAGATCAGTCAGATGGTTGGATGGATCACTAGGATCGTCGGACGGCGTTTGTATGTGTTTGTGTATGCTTGTGTATACGATACAACTCTGGAGGTCAATCCTGCGAGGACATAGTTATGGAATGAAAATGGAGTTCTTCTCCGCATCGCATCGTGAGGGGTCGAATGAGCAAGAGCTTGAGGCTCTGACGTAGGTTGCAGTATGTAAGTTCTTTCAGATGACTAGCAGAAGCAAGATATGAGGAGCACGGCTTGTCTGCACTAATGACGATCTGTGGTCAGAATAGCATCCTTTCTGAAGAACAAAGATCTGCAAGTTCGCAATCTCCTGATGTATCCGACTAGAGTGATGGGCCTTTTCAGTGATATGCCCACCTTTCTACATATGCAATGCCCCCTTCCAAGTTGATCGATCTCCTTGGATACACAGTACGCCTTACCATGTAAGCGCTCAAAGCAAGAGACCCAAGCAAGCACGCCTTCCGTCCGGTACTCCCAATGATCCCGCCAAAGAGTGGAACTATCGGACGCCAGCTACGATGTTGAAACAATGCTAATATGATCAGTTCTGAATCACAACGCGTACGTATTTCGCAGCTTCTGCTGGACTGCGGGAGCCAGACGTGATAGGAAGGCTTCGAAGTTCGGAATGATCTCTTTGTATCCTTGAATGAGCTATGAACGCTAGTGTCAGCTTGTTCTCATGCTGGATGTCTCGTTCAAACTTACATTGCCAAATGACTGCCTCACTTCCCTAAAACCCAGACCCGAGGCCTCTTTCTTAGGGAAAGCTGCAATGGCAGTAAAAAATTCGCCGAGACTGTTTTCCATGGCCCTTGGATTGCGCTCAATAACCCTGCTGAAGCCAAGAAATGCGCTGGCTTTCTCCTGGGTGGGAGCGATATTTGCCATTGACCTCAAGAAGGGCTCAGCGAATTCTGGAAGATGCGGCGCCAGTTGCTCTGCAGAAGCTATTCCCAGTCTGCCCAACGACATGGACGCATTTTCATTTACCGAGTCTGGAATGTCTTCATGAGAAACTATCGTAATTAAGCCTTGGTACAGCGGTTCGATATAAGGCGTCATGCTGGAAGTTGCTCTGACCCCGATCTCTCCGCAGGCCCAACAAGCATTGTTGAGAACATTGAAGCCTGCCTCCGAATTCGCGTCTTGAATCAGGTCCAGATCCAGCTGGCGAATCAGAAGCGGCATAATCTTTGGTAGCTGCGGTTCCAGCTGAGAGTAAATGTTGATTGCACAGTCACCTAGCAGCGCAAAGGCAGACTGTTTAACATCATTTGTTGGATCCTCCATGCAAAAGGCAAGGAGATCGAAAAGTTGCGGCTGGGAGTTCGCGACTAATTCAGAACTCTTGTTTGAGTCGATGGCCTGGATGATAGAGCTCAACAGATCTAGGCTTGTGACAATGAAGTCCTTGTCGGGTTCGTCAACCGCCTGACCACTCACAGCAGCCATGTAGTCTTGCAGATTCTTGTAGATGATCTTGTTGCATCGTACGAAGACGGTAGGTGCGAAAGGCGAGAATGCATCGCCATAAGCAGCTGCAACATATCCCAGACACCCCAGTAGTGGGAACATCTCCATGGATTGATCAGAAACCTTATTCCATCTTCCGATTAGGACAGGCATCAGAAGTTCCACTAGATGTGGCTTCGCCATTTCAGACCCAACACCATCAGCCAAGGTTTGGACACAGTCATACAAGATGTATATGTTCTTATCCTTGTATTTGTTGAAGCACTGTACAAATTGCCGCAGAATGGGTTGTGTGTATGGTTTCAGGCGATCTCCAGACTTCTCCTCTAGACTTGCAAAAGCGGAAGCTGCGGCCTCTTGGACCCGCTTCGACTTGTCCAGCATGCGCTTGAGAAGCCCTTCCATCATAGGTTCGAAATATTGCGATCGAGCAACAGGATCTTGCAAGTGAGATCCCCACTCCGAATAGCGCCCAAGACACCAACACGTAATTTGCCGTACTACTGGTTCTGGGTCTGCTAGTAGAGAGATAAGAAAGGGGACAAGCTCTGGAAGGTGAGGCGAGACAACGTCCATACAGCCATCGGCGATTGCTCCGAGAGCTAGCACAGCAGCTTCACGCCTTGGCCATAACGGGTGAGACAGATTTTCCTTAAGGTAAGGTAAGATGATCTCGAAGACTGGTTGCTGGAAAACAACAGCGAAGACATCGAGGGCGGCTGCGGAGCATTTGCGTAAATTCCATTCTTCCTCTGGATCGCCTTCCTCATCCTCGTAATCGTCTTCGTCCTCAATCTCACCTTCACTTAGCGAATCGCTATCCATTGTTGCAGCTTCATTTATAGTGGTATGCCCGTTGAGATCATGGGATGCCTCTGAATGATTGATTTTGGCCGAGCCTACGGCAATTCGTGAGGATTTGGCCTGTGCAAATTGTGGTTTCACATCTTCAACCTTATCCTCTTCGTCTGCATCATCATTCAATCCAGCCAGTCGTTCAATATCCTCTTCACTGTAGATCATCCCTTGAAGGAGGACCGGTATTACCCTCGACAGATATGGGCCCATAGAATGTCGAAGTTCTCCAATATTGAGCCAGAACCCTGCAGCATCCAAGGCCAAGTCTGGATCATTACGATTCTGTTGCTGTGTCAATATGTATTCCACAAGACCTTCCACGTGTGGAGCCAACAGATCAGGTCTCGTGTCGACCAGCTGGACTAAGCTCTGACAGACAATACGTCTAACCTCCGCGCTGGGATCATTCGCTAATTGGAATAGCTTGGCTAGGTAGGAATCCAACATAGAGATTAGAACTTTCGGCTTCTGTGGAATGAATATATTTAGTGTCTGAAGCGCAAACCGTCGGATACGTGAATCAGTGTGACCGGTGAATTTCAAGAGCATCGGAATCAGGACAGCCAGCGGCTGCTGTCCCTGCATTTCCCTGTTCAGCAGCTTCTTGTTGTCCTCGCACAGCTTTGCTAGGGCTGACATTGCGCCTTCTTGAGCTTCGAGTGGCACATTTTGGCTGTCGTTGTTGACCAAAGAGAGTAGATCCGTAAGAATCTCAGGCCACTCTAATATGCCACCTTGCTGAACGACTTCTGTGATAACGGTGCCAGCGAAACCACGAAGTTGTGGGTTTGTGTCTTGAAGCGCCTGCACCACCGAAGATTTTATGTATGAAAGCGCCTGCTTGGAGACAGACCGGTAGGAGAGCTTGATGTGATTTTTCAGATTGATAGCGGCAGAATATCGAATCGTAAAGAGGCTTGGGCCACCGAATCCTAATTGCGCAACTTGCGACGTGCTGAATATGTAGGTGAGGTAGTACACGAAGTCTGGGGATGACCGAGCTTTTGATAGCATCTGCACGAGGAAAGCGATGTCAGCAGCGAAACCTTTTAGGCAGGAGTATATGAAAGGTTGCTTGATGGCGCCGTACTCACAATCTCTGCTTGCTTTTGTCGCGGTCTATCAAACCCACCCAAAGAGTCCCTCAAGTACTCAGCAAGTTGCTTCAACCCATCTTCTTGTGGTTGCCACGCCATGATGGCGTCGGCTGAGCTTTGCGCACCCCAACCACAAGGACTCCTGTACCTTCGTCGGTGGCGCTAAAGTGGGAAGATTAGTGTTGAAAATGCTAGATCGTCTCGATCCAATTTTTAAAGATTGTCCACCGAGGAAATTGAACTCGCACTGCGCGCAGATTGGAGTAGGGCCCCATTCATAGGGTCTCATGAGATGACAAGGGAGATCTGTCTAGCTTTTCGCCTCAGAGTCGTGATCAAAGTGAGAATATTTGGTGAGAGGCGTTGTAAGTAGTTTGTTACCGGGGGCCAGAAGAAAGTCGGCCCTAGGTTAAAGAGGTCTGCGGTCAACTGCACGGCTGAAATAATTGAGCAGCAATCTCGGAATCTTGCAGTAGAATGAGACACACATATGCTCTATTCTTTCATGGTGCAAAAGGGCAGACGATGTGATCCAGTCGGGAATAGATCAATAAAAGTGACACATTTGTCCTCAGAAATTCCTCTGGGAGAACGGGGTGTGTACCAAATTTGTGGAGCTGGCTTTTGGTGTGGGGTTGAGCTTGGGTGCCGAAACTCTCCCCAAGAGTAACTAGTTACTCGTAACATTCTCGCCCCCCTCTCACTCTCAACTCAGACCAGTCCTGGTCTGGCCGCTGAATCCACAGTGATCTCATCCCAAATTTTACTATCTTTACTTTTAGGTGGAAAATATGTTCTTTTGCATACTCCTTCGTGAAATTTCAGCCACATTATCCGGTGCATACCTCACTCATGTCCATACAAGTTTCTTAATTGAATGACCAATTTGCTCCAGATATCCAGTTCTGCTGCGCGCATCCGCTCGCGAGATGATATCTGCTTTTTCAACAAGGTCTATCTCACATTCTTCACCATGGCTGACACTATTCTTCACCGCTCGTTGAATATCAGTGCATATGTGTTCTGCTGTAGCAAGTGGACTTGAATTGCCCTTCTCATCCGCAAGTGATTGATTTGGAATGACCTTCATAGCCATGCATTGAGACGATTCAGCGTTCCGGTTCCAGAGCCACGAGAAGATCGCAGAGTCTTCACTGTCTTCGCTTCTGTCTTTAGCTTCTTTAGCAGCTGAAACTTGAAGTGACCTCGTGTTGACACGTTTAATGCTGTCTTTGCTGGGGGAGTAAGCAATAACCAGGCCTACGTTCAGGTCTTCGTTCATTTGTCCTTCAGTTAGGGTTGAGGTTATGTAGGTGCCAAAACGGATTTTTGTGATAAAGCGAAGATCAATTCTTTCAAAAGACGCAACTTTCTCCGTGATCCAGTCGAATTTGCATCCATAGATAGCATGGTTTGTCAGCAATAGAATAGCTTCTTCAAAAGGCAGAGTTCTCAAAGTGTTCGTGTGGGCTGGTGTCAGCATTGCCCATCCATGGATGAGATCCTCCTCTTGATGCTGAATTACAATTTTGGAACATGTGTCAATTGCGTTCTCTCGAACTTTGTGGATGGAGATCCCTGGATCTGCGCTCATCATAGTGGCCTGAAAATCATCGAAAACTCTGGGCGTAACATTTCCAAGCAATACATCAATTACAGTCTGCGAGAAATAGTCGTTGACAATGTTATTGTAGTAACGGGTCAGTGTCAATCCAAAGTCATTCAGGGCCCCCCGGTAGTCTCGTTTGCGAGTCCGAGTATAGTCACCTTTCAGGGCTGCTGTTGATGCATATTGGCGAGAGATTGCATCACCATTGTCAGCCCACAACGTGTTGAACCATTGTGTGCTTGCATCGTGCACAAAGTCGATCTTTAGCCCATCTCTTGCAAGATCCTTCTGCAGCATATACTGGGCAAATGCACTTTGAACAACATTCGTTCGATCCAAGCAATCCATACAATTCGTCCGAATGATGCCTGTCTGTCTCTGTTCGATATTTTCGCCGTTCATCATAGTTTCGCCAAATGACCTCATGGTGTCTTCCGAGGCTTCGACCAACTTTTGTACGTTTTCGAATTTCATGCCGCGACATTCGGTATGGAAGTCAAACCAGTTGAAGCCTAGTTCACGGCTTCTCTCAGCCTGGTTGGAATATTTTACAAAATTCTCGTATTCCCCTCCTATGCTCTTTTCACCTCCTTGCTTGTCAACTAGTAAGACAATATGTACTGAACCATATCTCTGCCGCAGCTCTTCAAAATGGCGGTCGAACGCTTTTTGGTTGACCTCAGAGGAGTGGTGAAGAATTGGTACAGGCTTGAAGGCATATGGCGACTGGGAAAAGTATAGCGGGATTGAGCCTCGAATTTGCACAAACGAGCGGATCTTGGCTGGATCTTCCCACGATGGGGAAGACAGGATCTGCTCAGTCTCCACCGTATTTGCACAATTGCCTTCATCGTCAATACCGCGCCGAAGATAGCGTAGGCCAGATCGCTTCACAGACCTCCGCGAGATCAAGGTCAGTAGGAAGGATGGAGAACGATCGAGCTCAATTTCAGTTTCATGCGGTGGCTCCCTACTCCCATCAGCCTCAAATACACTCCCTAAGGACTCGGGTTCGGTTGCTTCTGTATGTGTCTTATTCTGTGTGTTCTCAACGACGAAATGCTGCTGGCCTATGAATCCTTGCATAATAGGCATAATGAATGCATGGAACCCAGCTTTCGAAAACGGGAAAGTCAGGTGTCTGTTCCAGAAATACTAAAAGTCGTCAACGTAGATACCTGCGAGCACCAGGAGCTCTTACGTACAGATTGATCGAAACCTTCAGGAGACACTGTTTTAAGAGATGTTATGGAAGAGCTGCCAAATCTTCTCGTGATATTGAATTCGTATGAAAAATAGAAACTTTGGGAGGTGAAGAGCAGTTTAGCCGCTCGTAGTATTTTAGGGAGCATCTCAGTAGCGGCCCCGTAGGATGACTGCTGCGCGAGCACCAGGTCACCATTCTCCTCCCGGTGAAGTGCCTCCGATATAAGAGGCGAATGGTCCACTTCAGAAACCGACGTGGCAATCGCTGATAGAGACTTCTGGTCTTCGGGTTGTGTGCTTGGGACTTTATCAGTGCTCACTGTCCCAGTGCGCTTGTTGCCTAACCCCCATCCCCTCCTCGAAAACCATTGCGAGGCAAATTGACCATATCCTTTTCGCTGAATGACATTCTGCACCACGCTTGTGGTGCTCTCATTGTGTCCAGCCCCCTGTGGTGTCTCGTCGATTGGAGGCCGCGATTCTGAAGGATCCCCAACGGAATGGTCGTCAAAGCTCTCGTCTCCACTCTCCTCAGATGGGGATAAAGGTATGTCAGATGCCTGCAAGCCTTTTGCCTTCTGAAGCCCCACTCGGATCTTCGTGATGGTTTGATCTACCTCTGCTTGGGAAGAGATGGGAAGTACGGCAATATCTCTAATGCCGTAGATAGGTCGGCCAAAAATTTGTGCTACTTGTTCCCTGCGAGTTATGCAAAGCAAAAATGAGGATGACGCAATCTTCAACAGACCTTTCAGGGTAGAGATATATTAGCAAACCCTTGATGGAGATACCTCTTGTGTTGGACACTTGGACAAAGTGCTGCAGAGAACGAAGATGCTTACCGATTATTCCATGACTTTCAAGATGTGGACTCTGTTTGAAAGTCTCTGGCTCTACCTTTAAATGGGGTCCAATTGATTTGCTCTTGAAGTCGATCCGAAGAGAGTTGTTATGATCTGATCCTCCAGCCGGCTGAAGGATCAAAGCATCAGTGGTTGCAAAAATGTTAAGTTTTTTCACGACATCCGGCATGATGTTACAGATAGAAGTCCACTAATTAGCTGAACGGTCATTCCACCCAAAACATCGAAAAGCTTGCAAGATTCAACACAGATGCGTAATGTTAGCAGGGTTTTCCTTTTTGAAGGATGAATGATAGCTCCAAGTGTAGTGGAAACAGTACTGGATAGCACCTGCGTCTCGTTCGCCCGATCAACACTTTTCGACGATCATGACGCAGAGACAGGTAGAAAACTGCATCCGTTCAACTTCCACCCTAGTTAGCAGCAAACAAAGCCAGCACTTTCTCATGTTGCACAGTATGAGGGTCAACCGATGGATTAAATGGAATAGTATCTTCCCTACGCCTGAGGTGATGGTGAATAATGATAGATGAACTATTGCGCTTCTACCCAGCCAGTCCATGGCCGGCTGCGGCCTTTAAAGAGGCCTGATAATATACAGTGGCAGATATCAGGCAGTTAACGCCTCTATCTATAATCAAACCCAGCAGACCTGAAAATTGTTTGCAGTCCAGTGGCCGAAAAAGTTGGCCTTAGCGACCAGCAGAACTCCACACGCCTTGCTTTTAAACCACATCGATATGGACAGAAAATAGAGTCAACCACGTTGATCAGATGATTAGACTGGCTTGAAATGAATAAGCAGCCACGTCGATTGCCAGCTGCAGCATGGCAACAGACTCGGATAGTGGCTCAGCTTGCTGGTCCAGCCCATTCAACTACTTCCAATGCACACATGACGAGAATCAAGGTTGAAGGCAGAATCCACACCACGTAGCTCTGAAACAGTATCTTGGACATGACCCCCATATACACATTGTTGACCTGGCAAATTTGAGCCAGTTGGAGCGCCGTAGGCGCACCGGTAAGCAAGAAGCACACAATGACAAAGATTTTGTCGTCCACGATGCTGACAGGGATGTACTTTGCCATGAGGGCCAACATGGGTGCCATCAAAACCGTAGGGAGAACCATACGACTGACGAGTGAGGCAATCAGCAAGTTCCTTCCCTCTTTGGGATCAGAGATTTCGCCCGGTGTCTCCTTTGGTAGGGTGTTCCTGCAAAGCAAAATTAGAATTGTGCATGAATGAGTGCAATCACTGATGGTAGGAGGACTTACCTAGCCAGATTGCCACCCAGTACGACCAAGATGAGAGGGACCGCCACCCCTGCGCTCTGGCTGATGGCTCTAGTCACGGAGTTCTGTATGAAGGTGCCCGGTGTAAAGAAGACATGCTGCAAGGGGGGCACTGAAGCCACAAGAATGGCAACAAGCATTGCCCATAAAGGAGGATTCATGAATTCCCAAAGGCCGGACAAGAAATGACTCAGGCCTCGGTATAGTCGAGCAAGAAATGACTGAAATGCTTTTGGTAGTGCGTAAAACATCGCCTTGCCGGTCGAGCTGAAGAAAGCCCCTATCCGAGTTGATGCCACTTTGAGCGAATGTTTGAACTTTTGCCAAATTCCTGTGAAGCCCCCGGTGTCCACAACATCCGTATCTGGGTCCACTGTCGGAAATGAAGTGATGTGACCGTTCTGGCGGGGTAAAATATTTCCATTTGCAGGGGTGGACAAAAGGTCTGGGATGTTGCTGAATTTTCCTTGTCGCTTGGGAGAAGCGGATCTTGAAGACTGAGTAGAGCCGCGGGCATGTGACTTGATGGGTGTCTTCGTGCCAGGAGAAAAGCTGCCAGATGAGCCATCGCCAACTCTCGTTTCTTCGTCGTCTCCGTTTTCACTATCGTACTCTCCGTCATAAGAGTTATCAAGAAGAGTACGAGGGGAATCATCTTCCGGGATGTCTCTATACCGTCCAGGTCCTTGTTCGAGACGTCGTGAGGAATACGTGCCACCATCCTCCTCCGAGTACTTGTCTGCCGGTGCTAGAAGAACGTTGTAGCCCCAACTCCACCTCAGAAGCTGGCCTAGCTGCTGAAAAATCAGGAGGTAAAGAATGCCTCTGGCCCCAACCTCGTCATCATTGTCGTTCGGCACCTTAACCCAATGCAATCCACGAAGCGTCTTGGAGAGAGATATGACTAATGATATTGGAAGCGAATTGGAATTTCCGAAGACCTGGCTTCAAATTAGCAAGATTCCAGTTAAGTATCTAGGAAGCGTACCCCCATTGCAATAACAAAATTCTTCTGACGCTTCTTGAATCGAAAGCATTTCGAGACCGCCACGGCACACAGGTATGATACCAAAGTTTGTATTATGAAGATAAAGGGGATAATGGCAAGCTCGACGAGCTTCTCCGCGGTCAACTGTGAGGCAAGCTTGGAGAAGACTGCAGGTAATATCAGTGACAGGCCGCGAAATCCTGCACAAGGGCCATACTCAAACATGGAGTGAAAAGCATCACATTCAGATTAGCCAGAAACTTTTGTGCTTCGGCATCGAACATGCCTTGCCTCGCGACGATGTAGCCTGGAAGACTGACGCAGACGACCTCTAATACGGCCTCGAACACGAGGAGGATCAGGTGGCCAAAGTTGGGGTGAGCCGTGTGATGTCTAAATGTCGACACCGTTTTCTGCGCGAAGAATATATTGTTGGTGTTGGTTGCGTAGCCATCTGAACCATGGGCATTCTGATAAGAGGTTGGCGATGTGATCCAATTGAGATAGCGCATGCTGTCTACCACCTCTGCGCTGTTCACACCAGAGAGTGTGAGCTGCTTGCGGAAGTCGAAATGGTATTCATCGAAGTGTCGGGCAAGAACTTGAATTGAATAGTGGCAGAGGGTAAGAGATGTTGATGCGTAAGACGTGATCCGTGCAGCCCAAAACCAGGTTTCGAAGTTAGGGGCCGGCTAAAACTTTGAGTTTGATATGTTGCAACAGCATCATTGGCACAGTTGACGCAGAATTTTGGTATAATCAACCTGCTGAGCTGGCATCAGGCAAGATGATAAAACTATTGGTGTCCGTACAAGGCTATATGTCTCGTTACAGAAAAGTACGGAACGCCTTCAAGGTCGTCTCGCAGGCAGTGAAGAAGCTGAACTTTCTGGCGGATATGCTTGGAGGGTTGGACTGCCAACGGGCATGAGCGCCAAGAATAAAAGCTTCCCACAAATGATTGACCAATATAGTAATTACCATACGCTCGATAATTACATGAACAGGTACTCTTGCTCTCAACCACATACTACTACCAGTTAGAACGGGCGAGTGTAGTAGTTATATATAGCCAACAGCCCCCAAGCACATCTAACTTGAACTGTGCTACTCCGTACAGATGGCTTCGTTGGAAAACATCCAAATAACCACAACAAACACACTGCTGTGCTGTCTTTGAGCCTACCTGGATTCCTCCTCTTCCTCTTCCCCATCGCCATGGATCTTGGTTATCGCTCTCTTCCGCTTTCCAGCTTATTTCAACTTGTGGAGACGTAGTCGTTGCTAAAACCTCAGATCGGGCTTGCCATGAACCCAAATCCATCATCAGCCAAGCTGGTTACGAACAGCAACCACATTTCATCTTCCCAGGAAATCCTCTACATTCAGCATTCCACATTCCACCGAGTTGCTGGAATGCTGCCCAAGATCCAATGTTGGCCTACAAAAGGCTGACATCGTTTCTCTTAAAATCCTGCCCTTTTGCTACATGTCTGTGGGCTTGACCTTCCATCGTGCACAATTGTTTCGCTTCCCAGTTCTTACACTCACACCAAAGTTCTATGATTTCGTCTACATCCTCATCTCAATCACTACAATGGCTGATAAATCGAAACCAGAGTTCATCTCCACCTCAGAGATGTTCACTGAAATCGAAGGAGAGTGGGGCTACAGATACACCGTCGTGATCTACCGTATGGGCAAAGCATTCTACAGAGGCAAATCCCACGCGCGCTACCGCTCTGAGAAGGATGTCAATCTCGAAGATATCTACGAGAGCAATTTGATCCCAATAGCTCAGCTCCATCCCATCTTTCCGAAGCATTTCACCCAGTCTCCTGAGCCTACCCCTCAGCATTATTATCTAAAACCACCTAAGCTATTATTGTACGAACCTTCATGCCCTTCTGGCCTTAGCGATCTCATGTTACAAGAAGCCACTACCTGGGAGACACTTATTCGTTACCCCCACCCAAATATCGTGAAATATTACGGGTGCCAGGTTCAGAATAATCGCATCACAGGCCTCTGCTTTGCTAAACACCATGATACACTGGCATCCAGAGTAAATCCTGGTCATTCCGCAAAGCGTCATTTCGATGCCACCAAGCGACCTCTAAAAGACCTGAAGTCATTTCTGGAAGGTGTTGAAAAGGGTCTGAAACATCTACACTCTTTAGGGCTGGTACATAACGACCTCACCCCTGCCAATATTATGTTTGCTACCGAGAAGGATGAGACGCCTATCATCATTGATTTCGGTTCGTGCAGGCCTGTAGGACATTCCCTACAGGATGTGGGGAGGACCCCTGAATGGCACGATCCAGCCGTTCGCACTACAGTTCCCACCAATGACACCGATGCGTTGAATGAAATTGCAGAGTGGTTGAGTCTCAAAGAGAACAAAAGCTACAAGCTTGAGCTGTTTGGTTAGGGCCCGCGTGGTCCCCTTTGTTGGGTTGGAAGCCAGCTTTCTGAGCCCTAAGTGTCTGGTATTGTGGATAATGATGTCTCACCTGCACTATAAGAGACTACTCTTACAACACTGGATACAAAAGGCCACCACTGGGCACACTGGTATCCTCTCGCCCATTAATCTGAAGCCACTTTCCCTCGACTACTTCTCAAATTCCCATTTCAGCACCCTGATCCTTCGCTGCAACACGAGCTGCTCCAAAAAATATGTGTTATTTTCAGACACTATCTGACGGGTCAAGAACGAAAATCTCAGACTGCAGGCACGACTGGTGTATTAATTCTGGTAATCATGTTACGCCTCCGCCAAAGCCTCGCAAGTACAATCCTCCCACGCCAAACCCTCGCAAGCCAAACCTTCACAGGCCAAACCCTCGCAAGCCATTCCTTCACAGACCGGATCCTTCCAAGGCGAAACTCCGCTGTACTCCTAAGATATGAGCTCGCCAGAACCACTTTGGACAACATCATTGTGAAGGCCATGTATGTTATGCCTCCATTCTAGCAGAATATGGCGAGTGGGCAGACGTTGTTGCTGACATTTATCCAAGAGGCCATACGCGTTGAGCTATTTTCCGGTTTGCATGTTCTTCGTCGTGTTGTTCTCGATTTGGTGGATCTGGAAAACTGCTCCAAGAAAGAGCAAGGCACATCCCTCAAGGTTTCAAGGGGAGGGTATAGCTTGGAATTCATACCGTCTTAGGCCAACCATGTTCTGGTATTGTGACACATCTCCCTGCCTTAATATGCGGCGACTTGTTCTCCCAATTGCAACCACCAGTGTGGAGTATAAAATCCTGATCCCAGTTAGTAGGATGCTTTGTCTTGGCCTTGGGGCTCTCCTGGTCTCAATGGCCGAAAAGTTAAGATGTTACATGGTCCGGCACTTAATGAGCAATCTCGAGTGATAATATCTCTCCCGTTCGCCCAGTGACCCCCATACTGTTTATAATCCACATGTTACCCCCAAGGATGATTTCAGTAGGGCTTGGAAGGGTGCTTCATCATCACCAGCAAACACGACGGTGCTCGCCATCAGAAGTGATGGCTCAGATATTAACAGCGGGACTGAGACAAAGCAGGGGTTCTGAATCGTACTCCGTTCTTGTGCAACGGATTGTGATCAGACAAAAAGCATACTAGAATGCGGCACTCACCTGAAGCCTTCTTCATGGAACAAACCAGCTGATTGAACTCGTTGTCCCTTTGTGTGTTGATATGACAGATAAGGAGTTCTGATGCGGTAAAGGTTTAGAGAGATACTAGTATGCAAATATGGATCTGGGCCACGGGTGAACAAAGGTTGCTCTTACGTGCTAAGCTCTTCATCTCATATGATCTACAGTCCATACGGTGGAAGCCCCATACATGAAAGAGAGTCAAGCTGCAGGCTGCACACTTGATACTGGTAAGCATGAGTGACTAAAGGAATATGGAGGAGATGTTGAGGTGGAGTTATGGCCATCTGTGGGTCCAGGTAGATTCCAAAGCGAAAACTGGTTTTTGGACTTTTGGGTTGATTCAGATAAAAACTCAATCGATGGCATTAGATTAGACATTTGTTTAAAGACATGTCTTGGCTCGACTGCCTCGCTGGATTGAAATGCCCAACACTTGGCATTAATTCGCATCGACTTCTCATTTAGACCAAGGCAAGAATACAGTAACGAGTAGTAGTGGTATGCCGGCCTTGATCTTCCGAACTTACTAAAAAAAATAGCACGAGCGTTTGTCATCATATTCGTAAAAAATCCCTTCGACGATTGATTGCTGGCGGTTTGGCACCTGCTAGGTCATCCAGGGGGATCCCAACTTGCAGGCCAAGGGTCATGGATTGACTCCGCTGCCCCCGACAGTGCCAACGTTGCTGAGGAAGACAACAAGAACGGCACAGTAGCTATTTTCTTTCAGCAAACAATATCAGGTGCCATTTGGCTGCATACGAACGGCAGTGGGAAAGGATCTGACCGGGAGTATCTCTTACCTGGCTGCGGCAAAGAAAATCTCATGACGCCTCGCCCTCGTAAACAATGCGAGGATGCCGGAGAAAAGAAGCGTGCTGACGAGCAAGATGACAATACTAATTCTGTCTGTAGCGCTGTTCGCGAGTGAAACGGTAAAATAGTAAAGTAGCCAAATCGGAACGATCAAGAGAGTAAGAATCAGAAGTGTGATGATGAGGGTCACCACAAAATTAATGCGTGAGCGTGTGAAGTACAGAACAAAATCATCATCGGTTTTCAGGCGAGTCTCCTAGAAGTCAGAAGTTAGAGGCGCTGCTACAATGGTGTTAAGGAACTAAACCGCTCCTTGGAACCCTTACTTTGCAGCAGAACAAATACTTGAAGCCTCATCAGTAAGTACCGTAGAAAATCCTCGGAGAAAGCATACCTTTGTGGGCTTAGTAGGAAGCAACTGTAGGATACGCTCCACGGTGGCGTCCAGCCAGGCATATTCACGCCCGCTTCTAAGAGTGACAAGGTCCTCTTTGTGATAAGCAAATTCGTCATCACCTTCTGCAAGCAGGTTTGGATAGTTTTCAATGAAATTGACAAGGCTTTTGTGATCTCGACTTGCAGGCTTGTTCATGGCCACAAGCTGCTGTGCCTGCAGTAACAGCTGACCTACCATCAGATGAGCATTTGACGCACGTATTTCAAATCGAGGCTGTAACATACCATATTCGATTGTCTTCTTCTCAATACGCTCGAGTAACTCATTTCTCGACTCTCTTCCGTGCTCATGAGGTTTGCGAGCTTCATCCATCATCCTAGATCTCAAACATCGCCGGCCATCATCACTCCTCGAATCTAGTTTGTCCATGGCAAGTAGATCGTCTTCCATCCTGCGAAGTTCATCTTGCTTGTGAAGAAGAAGCCGAGCATGCACGAGGCCGAAGCGGCGATAGATCATAAACTGCTCATCATTATCTAAATAACAGCTGACTCTTGGATATCCTAGAGGGTAATCCTCGACTGTATCAAAAAGTCAGATGCTGCCCGCAACACATCTCTTGGAAAAGAAACCAACGTTTCTGAATTTTGGTTTTGTTTTCTGCATGCCCTACTTCCGCTTCCGAGAGTTTGCTTTTGATCCTCTCGGGCCACGTGCCGGCCCTCTTTAATGCTGTGGCGAATGAAGGTAATTAGCAAATCAGAATCGCTAGGTCAATTCAGGATCAGTTCGTCCAACCTTGCACAGCGAACAAGAATCTCCCTGTAAACGTCGGATCTGGAATAGTAGTCGGGCTCACGATACCGCCTTTTTCTTCGCTCGACGATTCACTAGTACCGTAGCGACCCTCCTCTATGTGCACTGCATTGCGGTACGGACATTGATCGCTCGGCTGACAATCCATGAGGGAAGATACCAGACTACATGCAAAATCTTAGAGAATGAAAAGCAATAGGGAAGCAAAACGGAGGGCCTTGTGCCGGGCGAGCTTCAGCTCTTGTACAAAAAGCCAAACCAGCCTCGCTGGATTGCATAAATGTGGTTAGCAAATGAGGATGACGCTGTCATCCTGCCAGACCAAAAGTTCAGCGGCCCCAGAAGTGATCCACGAACTACTGGCTATTTGTGCTTGAACCGGAAATGACAGGCCGAGTACGGAGTAGTGCCGCCGAGTAAGGTGCCACAGAGCTGGGAGCTACAATTAAGCCCATTGGATAGGAAGCAGTGTTTCAATTAAGTAACGAACACGCGATAATGCAGGTGAGAGATACCCACAAGGCAGATTCTAAGCAGTCAGGATGAACGCGCATAAGGAGAGCCTTAATACTGATGAAAGAATGTGTTCCCTCAACCTCGTACAGCACTTAAAAGGGAGTAACACGATCCAAAACTTCTATGCAGGCCGCAGATCTTTCTCTCCAACCGGATGCTCCCACTTCACCCCGCTGCTATCCACAACAATGTAGGTATTGTGATTGCCTTCATTTATGACTTTATCAACAGTCACCAAGATATCGAAAACTCCGACAGAATTTTTCTTCCACAGCGATTTACCCACCTCGAACAGGGGTTCTTTCCGCTATTTCCAGTCAGTGCTTCTCACTCAGTGCTAATGCTCAAGGTGGCAAGGTGGCCTAAACGTACCGGTATGAGTGCCTGAGGCTTTTTCCTGGTGATCGAGCGATGCTCGGGAGTTGTGGGCCTCTAAGTTGGAACCAACATCTGTCAGCTAGGATTGTGATAAGTGGGAGCATTGTTGGCCGTACATCAGGTTCGAGTGGTGCTGGCGCTTCCATTCCGGGCGCAGTAAGCTTGACGAAGGACTAGAGTAATGCGCGAAAGCCAGTGGGCCCTGGCCGTCTCAAATATACTCCGTACCAGCGGTACTTTGCTGGGTTAAAGCAGACCAGAGTGCGATCAGGCAACTTCGAGGCAGACTTATTAGTTCATCGGCTGAGGGTGAGATTTTCCGTCTGCTGTCACCTTTCGGCTTAAATGGCCTCATGATGCGGCTCTGCATCGTTCAGCTTGCAGTTCGCCTCGGATGATTGCAGAAACATCTAGGAGGGGTACAATGCATACTCGCATTCGAATGCAAGCCCTCATTCGACCCGGGTGTCTTGCTCGTACTACTTCCGTATCTGGTGGTGGTTTTTCATGCAAGCCACAAATCCTCAAGCAGATTCTAGCACCCAATAATCTTCACTTCGCTATCGCTGTGCTACCTCGCCGAGGTGCTGGCCCACAATGTCGCGCGCCGAGGATGTATCTGTGCTACTTCACGAGAATCGAATTATTAGATGCCGGGAGTTGTCTGCTCACAGAAACAAAACTTAAACCACTCCGTCAAATGGATAGCGTTACTTAACGGGTGTCGAACCGCACTTGAATTTTGTACTAGATCCCTGACGCTAACAGATCTTGAAAAACGGCCTGCAAAGGCCTTCATCGCGAAGAACATAGAATCCTATTATGTAGTCGAATTGGGTACCTTTTATGGTTAAGCAAGATAAACTCGTCAGCGCCAGAGCTCCACCGATGCTCAGATCATCAAATGCAAACTCCCCAGTCGAGCCAACAGGAATACATACTCCTTGCTATGCAAATGAATGACCCTTAGGATCCAAAGGCATAAAATGAAACGCCAGCGAGTTCTCATAAGCAGAAGGAACACATGATTCCATCAGTAACCATAAATCGCAGAATCGACTATAGTCTGCCCATCGGAGACCACTTTCTTGCTCTATCCTGGGCAGAAGTACCAATCGATGCAAATATTGCCAGTAAGCTCCAGAAGAGCATCTTGGTAAGGTATTGGACACCATAGGAAGAAGCATTACCTTCTTCCTTTTGGTGTTGCATCTCTCTGCGAACGATTGCCTCTATGGTTGGGCCACCGGATACAGGCGAGGTTGCTTTTGCAAAACGCTGCTGCACTGCCTTCCTCCAGCGCTTGGCCACAACGAGAGCCATATGGGGTCTTGAGTCGAGCCCGCCCCATACAATGCGACTGATCTGTAGGTCATTGTCTTCTACCACTTTGTTGAGACCAATACCCAAACCCTCTATCTGGGAAATCGATGGACGAGCATCAAAAAAGAGGTTTAGACTGAGGATCTCTTGGGGCTTTGGCGGGCTGGGCTGATTAGGACGAGGTTCAGGACGACGACTTTCGGTAACATTCTGCTGAAGAGGCTGCAGAAAGATGCGCTCTCGGGGGGAGCCTCTATTTCGATCTGAAAGCACTGGACTTTGATCTTTTGGAAAGTCAGGGGCTCTCTTTTTGATGGTGTTCAGGAGATCCGTCGTTGTGAACTGGCCGCGTTCTTCGCAAAGGGTTCTTAGGGCCCATATCAAAGCGGTTGTGAAGGAGTGTTTGCCGGGTTTTCTCGTTGTTTCGCCGGAAGACGTGGCCGCGAGATACTCGAAGGCACGAGGGCACCCACGAGGTGGACCTAGATCCCCTGCATAACAGCAGTCAAAGATCTCAAGAACGTCCGCCTCGGCACCTTGCAAACATATTTCCGTCTTGTTCCAAACGATCCTATCCAGGTTGTCGCGTGAGTCCGCGAACCCACTTTTCCCTGCAAGTTCCAGATGGCCAAAAACACTTCCAGGTGTCCCGTGACCGGCAAAGTAGACAATCAGGAGGTTATCTGGGCCATCGTGCTCCCACACGAATTCGGCAACCAAATGGTTCACCTGCGCCTGAGCTCGCTTGCCGTTATATCCCAGGAGTGCAGGGATAATCTTATAGCCAAATGTGTCTCGGAGAACCGCACTTAAAGTGTCCACTTCTTGCTTCACATGTAAGTCGTCATGCTTGGATTCCCAAGAGATCATTAATGCGAAAACATTTTTGTATTGAGGCGAATCCCTGTATGTGCCTTTTCTCATGGCCTTGTTCCAAGCTACTGAATAGTCAGAATTGAGCCTTTCATATTCATCATCATAGTGAACAATCGACGTATCGTTGACGAGGTTGTCCTTGCCGCCGCTTTCCGAGCAAGAATGAGAGTGTTGACTCTTTTTACCAGGATCCGTAAGGCCGCTTATCCCGTTTGCACTGACCTCCACTGTGGGAGCTGTGGAGGTTGTGGAAGTAACCATATTGAAGTGTTTTCTTCGGTGAAGTTGTGGAATTGGTAGTAGTTGCCAGTCCTAGGTCATGGACTATTTCACGATGTGAAGTGCTGCAAAATGAACTTTCAACTGTCAATCGTCGAGATTATATGTTAATAACTAGACACCTGATTGCCGGCCCATAGCCAGCGGCAAAGGAATCGCTAGAAAGATGTCATCCATGTTGAGCACTTATACATAGTGAATCCAGTGGATGCCAGCGTTGTTGTAGGCGTATCACGTGGGGGCAGTGTTCATGTGGGGGCAGTGTTCATGCTGGAACAGGGGGCCATCCGGCCTTAGATATCTAACATCGGGGTCTAACATCTTGTTGCTGCGCTTTCTGGATATGCCCAGAAGCAGAAAGGCAGCCTCAAGCTATTGGACCCACCTTGGAAACGGAGGCGCAGGGCTTGTTGATACGAGAACTCAGTAGGTCAGGTGAATGGCTAAGGCATGGCATGATTGCATTTGTCCGCAATGGTTTTATGTTAGTTTGATTTTACCGTGTTTCTGATCTGCAATGATTTTGTGTTAGTTTGATTTTACCGTGTTCTGATCTACATGATAGAACATCTCCTCTCAAGCGTAATAGATGGTCAATGGCCTTGTCATAGAAGGCCCCTAAATATGAAAAGCGAAAACGCCTGAACTAGACGCACCATTACCGCTAGATCTTTTGTACTGAATTGAAGGCGACTATGTAACGGAAATGCGGTTCACCATCCTCTCAAACTTAGACACGTTTACCAGTCGTTCTATCGTCAGCTCTTTGCCCAGGTGTTAGGTCAAGATCTGTATGTCTACCACCTCTCATTTCATGTATAAATCGTTGATGAAATAGCTAGGTTGTGAAGAGCGAACGCGAACGAAATATGAATCATAAGAAATGAGCGAGAGCTTTTGACTAGGTATTATCAGCTACTACCATTGCTATAGCAACTCCTCTGATCTGTTGTGTACATCAGAGTAAGTCTCTAGAAATCGAATATTTGCCATTCGTGGAAGAAAATGGTCGGGAACTGAACAGGTTTCTCACCTCAATTCATTTACAAACAAAAAATGTCAACGAGTGTCAGAGAGTGCTCGCACCTGCTGCCCAGCCGGGCCAGAAGGATAGAATGATACACCTATTGATGAAGTGGGTGAGATAACTTATAAGGGGGAAGTGGCTAATCTACTGCCATGTGCCGTGTGGAGTCACGTGAACGTAGGGCTTGGCACTGGCAGTACAGAGTAAGTACCTACTTAGCAGGAAGACGGCCTCTGAAAGCTATGTCTAAATTACCATCAATGTGTGCTTAGTCTAGGCCTAACCATGATATGACTTAGTTTGCATAGAAATACGGAATCAAGACATCTCAAATACGTTGAAATTCTGTCATTTTGGACGTCCTTTTGGGAAATTGTGGTCTTTTGATCGTCTTTTGACGGTCCTTGTAATGGCTAAACATTGGTAAACTCACTAAGGACCATTATGGCGTCATTTTTAGACCCCCCTTCTCCTGGTAAGTAGGGCATTGTTCCAAGAGTTGCGAGAATCAAGATAATATTTGTATACAACTATTTAGTACTTAGTGTATCGGATACAATGAGCTATGCTGGAGTCATAGGAATGGACAACGCCTTATTGGTTGAAGAGGTTGGCTGTCTAACATCTAATGAACAGTAGGTGGCGGATTTTCAGTGACACAGGGATATAGCACATCTAATCTGTTCCTGTTTGACAGAGCGGCCCCAGCAGCACTGCAAAGCTGTAAGAGTTTTGCATGCACAATATCTCTATCCCTGAAGCTTAGTATGATGGTGCTAGTGTCTCTAGAAGAGCATATATTGGTGGCTCAAGTACTTGATACGCAGCAAGGTGTTCAAGAGTAATTGAAGAAGCGTTGCTGGCTCTACATGCATTCCTAGTGGTAAGTTAAATAGTTAGCTATCATATCAAGCCGCATCCGCCGCCCGCATAGTTACGCCACAGAGTGAAACCACAATTCTTGCTCCTCGAGGGCGAGAAGTTGGCGTCATGGTATCCATGTCCGATGAACCACGCAATCAAACAATATATCTTCATCAGAAATCTTCTCCTGGCACACTCTTAGAGATTTCCCTAAAAATCATACAATGTATGAGTAGCCCTCTGCACTCCGACGAAGAAACGAAAGAGAGCGTCCCCGACCACTATCGGCTGCGCAACAACATGCAGTGGGCGTGCCATTTTTGATCGCTGCATGGATAACCCTTCATCACACTCTTCTTTTGCCGCATGTTCAGTCAAGTTATCACTAAGGGAAGTTGCCCTGATCGAAAACCTCAATACTGCGCCTCTCAAGCTTCCCTGACCAGGCATACCCGTGACATAGCACCGCGTGCACTCTCACTTGGCATCTCGAGCTCAGATCCACGGATTTCCGGCTACCTTCTTACTTTCAACCCTCTTCTGTTTACACTACTCCTCCTCCTACCAAACATAGTCTGTCGGCCCCGTCCTACAAAGTACGTCGATCAGCAGGTCGCTCGCTTGCTCCTACAACTTTCGAACCTTTACCGTCCCGTGCCATATCTTTAACTCACTGGAAGTTACAGAGATGGAGGAGGCTCCGCAGAACGATCTCGCATCTGAGACACTAAAACCACGATCTTCAGAAGCCGAAGGCCAATCAGACGACCCTCCAAACTCCTCTTCCCCAGTACCATCATCCCTAGATTTCAATCCTCCTCCTAAGCCGCCGTCTTTGCGAATTGCGAATGATGGACCATGTTCTAACACGATGACTTCTTCTTCGGCTCCTTTGGGACAAATAAATGCTGCGCGCCGGCCTGGAGCGCCTCCTGCACGTGCCAGCGGGCTCACCTCAGACATTGCGGCCAAGATGAAAGCCTTCTCTCTGTCACGGCAAAGAGCGCCTGCACAAAATATGCGGCCGCCGCCTAGCGCAGGTCATACCCTGTCCACAAATAGTGCTATACCTTCGGGGGCTTTTGCGCCAGGGACTATGGCACAACATGAAGGTCAACAAGGCGGCGGACCGGCATCTCCGCATGGACCTCTTGCTGGAGGAGCGGGAGGACTCAGTCCACCATCTTCAATGGCCAGGCCCCAAGTTCCGAATTGGAACTCATCGCCTCAGATAAGCGGACAAGGCCCTCGAATGGTGACGCCACGGCCTGGAATGGGAGGGCTTGCAGCTAAGAGAGGTATAAAAGGTGGTGGGATGAAGCTTTCAGACGCGACAGGTCCCTCTCAGCCACCTTCTACTAGCGGCAGTAATACTTCACAGCCAGCCTCAAATGACACCGGGTCTGCCTTTAACAAGTATTCGAATATTATCGACACACAGAAAGGCACTCTCAACTTCGCGAACAAGGCTGTGATACACGGTGGTGGCATAGAGTTCACATCGGGCACGAGCTTCTCGATATCACTTGACGAAGTGGACACGATGGAAGAGTTGGGAAAGGGCAACTACGGAACTGTCTACAAAGTTCGACATTCAAGGCCGAAAATGAGAATACCTGGTCAAGGCCTTCGGGGGAACATGAGTACTCGACCCTCTACAACTCCAACATCAAGCATGGCTTCAGACGACAGCACAGCTAGTGCACCAGCAACAACCGGGACAGGTATCATCATGGCCATGAAAGAAATCAGATTGGAATTGGATGATGCCAAATTCGCTGCCATCATTATGGAGCTGGATATTCTGCACCGCTGCATCTCACCTTTCATCGTCTCATTTTATGGTGCCTTCTTCCAAGAAGGATCAGTCTATATCTGTCTCGAATTCATGGACGGCGGGTCCGTCGATAACCTGTACGGTGATGGCGTTCCTGAGGCCATCCTAAAAAAGATCACGCTCTCCACAGTCATGGGTCTTCGATGTCTGAAAGATGAACACAACATCATTCACCGAGACGTGAAACCCACGAATATCCTCGTCAATACCAAAGGCCAGGTCAAAATCTGTGACTTTGGGGTCAGTGGGAACCTTGTGGCCTCGATAGCAAAGACAAATATTGGCTGCCAAAGCTATATGGCACCTGAACGTATCTCGGGCGGTGGTGTTGCTCAAGCTGGAGCCAATCCAGGTGGTGGAACTTACAGTGTGCAATCCGATATATGGTCACTTGGTCTCACCATCATCGAATGCGCCTTGGGTCGATATCCTTATCCTCCGGAAACGTACAACAACATTTTCAGCCAATTGAGTGTATGTGTCCATTTCATAAGTATTTTGCTTTCAAACCATTGATCTCTTACAGGCCATCGTCGACGGCGACCCACCTGATCTTCCGGCAGAGGGTTACAGTGGCGCCGCCCGTGACTTTGTGCGTGGCTGTCTTCACAAAATCCCCAAAATGCGGCCAACTTATGCCATGTTGCTCCGACATGCATGGCTTGCCCCACTGATGAAGCCACCTACGATCTCTGAAAACGACGAGGCGGAAGCGGCTGCCGAGGCGGGTGCCGAGGCGCCTTTCTCGGGAGAAACGGATTCGTATCTCGAAACAGCCGACCAAGAGGTAGCTGACTGGGTCCGCTCCGCAATCCAGCGCAAGTTAAGCGGCAAGATGGGTAAATTGGAAAAGCCTGCTCTTCATACCGTGCCTCTTGATGCCGTACCCGGTAGCCCTCTCCTTGACCGACAAGGGCTCCAACTTGATACGTCCTCGACAAAGGTACCTGGTCATACCCAAAGCAACACCCAGAGTGAGGAAGAGGTAGCAGCGGCAGCCTCGGCAGTCAAAGCTGCAGGGCCGGCAGCGGATTCGTTGCCAAGAGACGGTGTCACAGTTGGAAGCCCGGTGTTGAGAATGCAGAAGGTGCATTCAATGGATTTTGCTGATGGTGTTGGCCAGATCAGTCGCGGACCAAGCGACAAAGGCCTCAGTATGGGAAGTGATTTGCAGGGTCCAAGAATACCAATAGACGGCGCTCAGGTCGAAGATACGGAACCATAGCTCGTATTTTGGGACCAGCTCGCTCTGACCAATAGGTTAGTTGAGAAGGGAATGAGCATGACTATAATGAAAATGAATGGATGAGGGAAGTCTCTCCCTATGCTTCAATGGCTACACCACCTGTGAACGCTTTCGATATGGATATCAACGAAGTGCCCTGGGACACCGTCTTTTTTTTTCTCTAATCAGAAGTTGTCTGTCGCCGTAGTATCCTTGACTTCGACGAAATAAAAGGCCCTGTCACAAGGCTGGTACAAGGTGTGAAGGCAGCCTGGTCCAGCACATTGCAAGGCAGCATACTCCGTATGCACTGCTACTTGGATGCCTGACGGAGAAAGTGGCTGCCTTCAGGCAGAACATTACCAAAGACCTCGGCTCTCGTGCTGATATTCCCAACAGCATTCCTGACCCAAAGATGATGATCCCAATCCAGCGGTCAGACCGCCATAGCGTGATCGTCGCGCCGCACACATGCTGGACGGACGGGATGCGGCCCTCAACCTTATCGATATGATGGACGAAGTTCAATGACATGCTGCGTAATCGTCGACCCAGCGGCTCGGGCTGAAACAATCCTTTGAGCTATCTTCGATGTGGCTGAGGATGTGAGATTGGTTGTTGGGTGCCCTGAAACCGTCAGAGTGTATCGTGATGTCACGCGCAGCACAAGAGCGCTTATCTACACATCAACATCTAAACTGCCATCAACCTTCCAAAAGCCTATGTGGCTATGTTAACAATATGGTGATTTTGCATTTGCCTGCTACTGCTACTGCTACTGCTACTGCATGATTGGGCATACTGCTTACAGGTTAGTGCTACATCTACCTCCCTACCCGGGATTTAAGTACAAGAGATAGGCATGTGTAGGATTCCTAGAGATGATTGTTGCAGGTTTCATGATGGGAGCGCCCGGCAAATACGTACGTAGTAGTATAATTTATTATTAGTTGAATCTGCAAGCCCTTTTCTCCAGTGGTAATGTCAAGTTCCGCATCAGGAAAGACTAGTGCTCGACAAGGGCTTGAGGGTGGTTTCGTGCGAGCAGCTCGTGTCCACCTGCCAGGCCAGGACAGACCCCGCCCCACCACTAACTACTAGTAGTAGTTATTGAGCATGCCCTTGAGTCCGTTCTATCTGAACCTGCAGTGTTTGCAATAAGAGCAGAGCAGAGCAGAGCAGAAATGGACGGGGCTCAACAGACAGGCTAATTCTAATGATTGTCATGACTTCAGACGATGGCAGTCACGGACCCCCATTGCTGCTTAAAAAGGCTCGACGTCGAAGCCAAGGCCGCCGCCTCGTATCAATTGAATGCACCAACAATGCCGAGTAACCTGCAGCTGAACGCGCCGGTTTCTTCAGCATTCTTTCTCTTACCCGCATGGTCAGTACAGCGGTCAGCGGGATCGCCGACATTGGGAAGTTCCATGCAATGCACATGCACGTCAATGGAACAGTGACAAGAGCAGATCGAGTAGATGGCAGTGCTGTCCTATTCTCACCAACTACTACGGTAGCTTCATGGTTCCTTCCCTGAGCTTGGTACACGACAATGACCAAACTGTCCAGTCCGACGCTCCCGTTCTATCCAGCCCCGTTTTTTAGCCGTTGATATTCTCTGTTAGCCCCAAAGTCTAAGCAACCACTACCGCCTTCCTCAAGCCCTCAATTTGACGTTCCGCCCCATCTTGGGAGGCATCAATTCGTGTATTCGTGTTTTTGCTCCGGGGCCAATGAGGAGGCAATGCTCTTTGGTATTGTCTTGACCTTATTAGCACCTTTAGCATCTTCAGCACCGAAAGCTCGTACCTTGCATGTGTTAGGCGTCCGCTTGTCCTTGGTCTATCATTTCTTTAAAAGGCACGACATCTTGTCGCCTGGCTCTTTGTCCGGGGCCAATTGCACATTTACAAATACTACCTCATCCATTGCCTACTAACTAGAACCCCAATTGGTGCACGGTTTTTCTGTCCATTGTTTTTTTGTAGCCTTCCGCAGGTTGTTGTGTGTCCATTGTCTGCCGTCGATCCCCTGCTTCCGGACGTTGTATATATTTCTCAAATTCGCCTCTCGAATTGGCGATGAAACGAAGTCAATCACAGGAGCCGCCCCTCAAAAAGCGAGAAATGTCATCTGACGGCCTAGCACCACCAGAGGAAATGCATATCTTGCAGAGAAGTCCTTCTCCAGACTCAATGCTGGCCCATTGGAGTCGCAACGTCCGCGGCGCTTTCTCGAACATTGGCGGAGGCGAAGAGCCTAACGAGGTCATTAATGGCGCTACTCCTGAACCTTCAAATTTCTTCTCGAACGCGTTCTCGGTCATTAGCAGCCAGGTCCCCCGACTACCAGAGAATGTTGGGCTTGCTCTCTCAATCGCGAGGACAAAACTGTTTAGAAGTGGCCTCGTCGATGACAAACATTACGACGTAAGTGCGAAACCCTTCTGCCAAGGAAGCTGCCAGCGTTCGTGCGGCTTCTCTAACCTTTTGGAGCTATAATGCTGACTGAGAGCAGCTTGAAGCAATCATCCAGGCGGCAGCGTCACTACCACCAAACTCGAAGACATGCAAGGGTCTGGCTGGACTCCTCATTAAGCCACTTTGGAACGATTTGCAGCATCCTCCGTTAGCCTATCTGGGTGACGACTTCAAATATCGCAAGTCAGATGGCTCCAACAACAATATCATGTACCCCCGCCTGGGTGCCGCTGGCTCCTGCTACGCTCGTACTGTGACGCCTGAGACACTTGCTCCGTCCGTTCTTCCAGATGCTGAACTCGTCTTCGAAACGATATTTGCCCGAGAAGGCGAAATTAGGAAGCATCCGAATGAAATTTCGAGTGTTCTATTTTATCTTGCAAGCATTATCATTCATGGTAAATGTGTCTCATATAGGATTTCTCCCTACATCGATTGACTTTCATCTCCAGACATCTTCCGAACCGACGAGCATGATTCGAATAAGCTCAAAAACTCTTCGTACTTAGACCTCAGCCCCTTGTATGGAAGCTCGGATGACCCGAAATCAGATGCATGCGTCGCGAATGTCCGAACCTTCAAGGATGGCATGCTAAAGCCCGACACCTTCAGCGAGACTCGGGTTTACGCACTTCCGGCAGGTGTTGCTGTCTTGTTGCTGTGCTTCAACCGCTTCCACAATTACGTTGCTTCACAGCTGAAGATAATCAACGAGGAAAATCGCTTCAGCGAAGATCCTCGACAATCGCCAGAAGCAGCCCGGAAAAAGGTTGATGAAGATCTTTTCCAAACTGCCAGACTTATTACCTGTGGTCTTTACGTGAACATCATCCTTCACGATTATGTTCGAACCATCCTTAATCTACAGGCCACTGACTCCACTTGGACCCTAGACCCGCGAACAGATTGTGAAAGCATCTTTGATCAGCACGGCGTTCCCTCTGGGATCGGCAACCAGGTCAGCGTCGAGTTCAATTTGGTCTACCGCTGGCACTCAGCAATCAGCGAACGTGACGCCAATTGGGTCGAGGGTCTGTACCGTCATATATTCAAAACCGAGGACATCACGCCTTATCTCCAGGACCGGGAACAATTCTACAAAAAAGTCGGACCGTGGTTTGCAGAGATCAAGGCCAAAAAGCCTGAAGATCGGGAACATCGTGATTTTAGAAGGAATGAGGATGGAAGATTCAACGACGAAGTCCTGGTCAAAATCCTGGCGGAAAGCACAAAAGATGTGGCTGGAGCCTTCGGTTCAAAGAATGTGCCCTTGGTGATGAGGCTGATCGAGGTCATGGGCATCGAACAGGCTCGGAAATGGAATGTCTGTACCTTGAATGAATTCCGAAAATTCTTCAAGCTTGAACCGCACAGAACGTTCACCGATATCACCAAGAATGCTGATGTTGCTCGCACTCTGGAGACACTCTATTCGAAGCCAGACTATGTTGAATTGTACCCGGGTTTGGTTGCTGAAGACGCAAAGCAAGTCTTGGAGCCCGGATCTGGTCTTTGCCCCGGATATACAGTCTCAAGAACAATCCTTGCTGATGCAGTTGCATTAGTAAGAGGTGACAGGTTCTACACCGTGGTATGATGCGGCTTCCCCTCGCTCATTGGCAAACTCTAACTCCTTGCTCACAGGATTATACTCCCGCAAATCTTACTAACTGGGGCTGGAATCTAGTCAAGTCAGATCCGGAGGTCGCTGGAGGTGGTGTCATCTACAACCTGTTGATGCGCGCGATGCCTTCGTGCTACAGAGGCAACTCGGTCTTTGCGATGTTTCCTTTCGTCCGTCCAAGCAAGACCCGTGAGCTGCTGGGGAAAATCAACAAACTGGATGACTATGACTTTTCAGACCCATATATGAAGCCGCCGCCAAAGCCTGTCAAGTCTCATAAAGCAGTTACGGATATTCTCAAAAACAATCGTTCGTTCAAAGTGCCCTGTGAGTACTATAAACTCCACCCAATCCCGCATTGCCAGAAAACTATTCCTCACGCTCGATCACTTCTTGTGCTGTTGTACGCAACATTGGCTGATAATCGTTATTAGGGGGCCCGCATACCAAAGCACTGACAGGTCATGACTTTATGCTGGGTGGAGACGAATTTCACAACCGAGTCCAGCGGCATGAGATTATGGAAAAATTATACACGCCTTGCGACTGGGCGCAGCAAATCCGCGACTACTATGAGCAAACAACTTATCAACTCATCAAAGTACATAGCAACAAGCTACTGGAGAACCGATCTCAGATAGACATTGTTAAAGAGTAAGTACATTCACTCTAGCTTTTCCCTGCGATGGTATGCTTACTCGATGCTCCAGCATTGCTAACCCATCTCACACCCTATTCGCTGCTCGAATGTTTCACCTTCCGGTTGATGACCCAGATCATCTCTTGCCTGGGGCCAACACAAAGAGCTTGTATCTCGGCTTCGCCAGTCTTTTCGCCTATGTTTTCCTCGACAGTGACACTGCCAGATCTTTCAAGCTTCGGACAAACGCGAAGAAAGCGACGGAGAAATTGAGAAACCTTGTGCGAAAGGTCGTGCAGGCCGTTGCACTCGACGAGCACCACCATTTCAACAAGCTATTCGACTGGAGCACCAGCGGGAAGCTTCTGTCAGATTATGGCATCCACATGATCCAACGTTTACTCAACAGGGGGAAAAGAGTGGATGAGGTAGTGGCAGAAATTCTCCCAACTGCTGCAGGGGCCGTAGCGACACAAGCACAAGCAATGGCTCAGATGCTCGATGTGTACCTTGAACCAGACAACATGAGACATTGGCCAGAGATCCGACGATGTGCTTACTCGAACGATCCAGCCGACTTCAAGACACTACAGAAGTACGCACTCGAAGCTTGCAGACTTGCACCAGCTGCATTTGGTCTCTTGCGCACTGCTGCCGAGTCAGGGAAGATTCAAGATGGCAACAGGACCATCTCCTACGAAAAGGGCAATATGATCTACACCGATTTTGTCTCCGCGGGTCGTGACATGAGAACCTTTGGAGGAAACGCAAACGAGATCGACGTCAGCCGTGACCTCAACGATTACATCGATCAGGGTCATGGCCCGCATGACTGCATTGGCCGAAACATCAGTCAGATATCTCTGGCAGTTCAGCTGGGACTTTTTGCCAAATTGAAGAATTTGCAGAGAGTGCCTGGTCAGGCCGGGAAGCTCAAGTACACCACTGAACTTCCTCACGGGAACCCTGGAAGTATTCGGGTATATATGACGGAGGATTGGAGTAGTTGGTGGCCGTTCCCCACCAGTAAGGCTCTCTTTCTCATGTGTGGTACGCCGTGCTGACCATTTTCCTCTAGCAATGAAAGTTCAACACGAAGGCTTCTGCAAAACTATCGAAGAACATACCTCTATCCATGGCCAGAGGAATATCGTGAGGAGGGTAGATAGTGTTATGAGTCCACCTGATATCCACATGAACGGGTGTATTTAAACGGTGCACGGCTGGTTGGTGGGGACAGGAGAAAACACCTAAACTTCCGCATGCTTCCTTTTATTGCTATCGGGGAAATATTTTGCCTTGCGTTCCATTCATATTCCAGCTGTAACTTCTTATCGCTTGTCCATGTTCCTAGCGGGTGAGAAGAAAATACTCTTCGTTGAATTCATATTCGGACTCAAACTGAAGTTTCAATCCCCTTCATCATTGCTGGCAAGGTGTTGGGAAACGATTAGGCTATCATTAGAGCAAACAAGCAAGCATCCGTTCATTCATGCATTGATTAGGGATTTCAAGCGGTCATGTTGTGATATGGAGTAGAGAACAAGAAGAGAAGGCGAAAGTACTCCGTACTACTTGAAGAATGAGGTTATTCTATCTCTATCTCAGTATCCTCGTCCAGTCCTTTACACAACATAAGGACACGCTATTGATTCGCGAGCCAGGCGTACCACCATCAGGAATCGTACTTATATCCCAGATTCAATCGAGAGTGGGCACTGCATCGCTTTCTTTCGAGTCTAGATGGAGGGCACGGTTTTGCAATGAAAAATTAATTTAGCCTTAACAATATCTACCACATGAGTACATGATGTTCGCACATGAACATGGAGAAGTCTTCCTGGTCCTTGGGACTAACTATCCATAATTGCCATGGAGAGCTGTGACATGTTTTGGAGTCGTGCTTTCGGTACAACTGAGACAGCATCAGACTTCGCTGCTGGCGTGTCTGCCTTTGGACCTGGGGACTTTGTTTGATTGCTCAAGTCCAGATCTCTGATGTGTCGTTAGCATGATAAGATTGGCTTGAATTAGAAACGTGGTGGTCCGGTGGAGCAACAGGTCCAAAAATAGTACATTGTCGAATAAGTTAGACATCGGCTTGGTATCTTCACAGGCATCCGATTCGGCGAAGTCCCTTCCCGCGCTTGAGCAATAATTGGAGGCCTTGGGCCACCAAAGCTGTAGGTCCAGTGTCAGCTGGAGTGCGCTATAGCCTGACTAGTTACTGAAATAACGGCCTCCCGCAGTAGGCTGCCGGTCCGCTGTTAGAGAGAGATGCTAGATGAACGTCGCAGTTTTGTGGGGCTCTTGAGGTTATGCCATATTGTAGATGGGTGTTCTAGATCGTGGGAGGTGGTCCCATGATCAAGCCATCCATCAGCCCTTTTCTCCCTCCGCGGAAATGGTTGTGAAACTTGTTCAATAAGATCAGGGGTGGCCAGAGTACCTAGACTGATGGTCTTTCATGATATCGAGGAACAGGCATAACGTAGTAGGTTGCGGCCTTCGCGGACCTCGACTTTCCATCGTCTCAGCCTTCCTATGCCACGGCGGCCAGTCTCTACACATCATACTCCAGATCAAAACTGAACCGTGTCTGAGCACAGAGTCTGTAGGTAAGTTATAGCTGGTCGTCATTGAGGATCGCGCTAAGTCAATATTTCTCACTGATCGTGACCAGTACTCACTAGGAGGCCTTCAAAAGGGGGTCAGAAAGCATTTTGCATTAAAATGAAAACCTAAATCCTTCGTTCGCGAAGTCCAACAAATTAACCAGCTAATTTTTTGTTAGGGGCAATGAGGTCAGAGGGTGCGGAAATTCATTCCGAGGTAATTAAATAAAACGTAGCATTTACATCATCCACACGGACCACAATGTTACACGGCCCCTGACGGACCACAACGCCATGATCGCTGGCAGGGGAAATCTCCCTGATATTGAGCTGAGAGCTGTGAGCCGGTTCTTCGTCTGCTTCATCTGACGCGACGGGGATGATTCCATTGGTTCATAGCTGCGAGATATGGTATTTCCCATCCTCCACGGTGTTTCCTTCACCTTGGACGAATATCTACCCTCTCTTAGGAAAAGTTGACTAAGAAGAAGAACAGCTCTTCCTTGCATTGCATTGTCCTCTGTGACTGATGACCTGCAGTGACGTATTTGATGTTCCTGATCTACTACTCCAACCTTAACTTCTCTGTTCTCTACGCCTTACTCCGAACGAAGTTTCACCGAATAGCCACTATTGCAACATGCCACCGTATGTCTCTAGAACTGCGATGCTACGCGCTCATCTCAAGATGCCGTTAGTGCAGCATGCTTACAGGACAATTAGAACACTTCCCTGCTTCACCCTGGAAGGGAAGAACTGCATAGGCAGGTCGACATCCTCTCACTCTGATCTCTTCTATGACTAACCTGTTTGCTTGTCAGTGACTGGGTGCCATCCACCTTCCTCCTTTTCTCCACTCCCCGTAGCTGACTGAACCTTCGCAATAGCGCTTCTCAAGGGCTGGGCAAGGAGATCCTGACCGCCTTTGCGCGTTCTGGCGCTCACGGCGGGGCTGTCGACCTCTCCATTGGCTCGGCCAAGCAATCCGTGTCAGAAATCAACACTGAGCTCAAAGAATCCGGGCTGCCTCCTGCCAACCTCAAGGGTTATGAATGTGATACATCTTCTGAGGAAGGCGTGAAGAGCACTTGGCAACAAATACTGAAAGACTTCCAAAGGATAGACGTCGTAGTCACCAACGCAGGGATCATTGGGGAGTCGCCGGCGGAGGAATACCCGTTCGAGGACTGGAGGAGGTTGTTGGAGGTCAACGTGAACGGGACCTTCTTGTTTGCGAGGGAAGCTGGGAAGCACATGCTGGAAAAAGAGATCAAGGGAACCATCATCATGATCTCGTCTATGTCCGGCCTTGTGGTGAATCGACCTCAGAAGCAAAGTGCGTACAATGTGGTACGTCCGCTCATTTCATCCTCCACCCCTCTTCGCACTATGCTTACCTTCTGTTGGGCGTAGTCGAAAGCAGCGACGACGCAAATGATGAAATCCTTTGCCACCGAATGGGCCCCACACGGGATCCGCGTGAATGCGCTCTCACCAGGTTACATTCAGACACCGAAAAACGAGGGGGAGGAGATGAAAAAGAGGTCCAAGGAATGGATCCAGCACATTCCGCTCGGCCGCGTCGCCAAACCTGACGAGTTCAGAGGCACGGTGGTCTGGATGGCCAGTGATGCTAGCAGTTACATGACTGGTGCAGACATCGTTGTTGATGGCGGCTATACCGCTTGGTGAACGTTTTAATTCAGCCTGGGAACGGTTGTTGAGCTAGTGGGTGCAGCCGCAGTAATGCTTCAATCTTGTGCTAGTCTTAGAGAGTGCCATAGAGCTTCCGAGGTCTTAAGGCTGACCCAGGAGGTTGCATTGTGCAGGAGACCAAGACAGAAATAAGCTCTGCTATTCCTCGTGTCACTAAACGGGCTGTATTTCTTAATCAGGAATAATGCCGCCGTGACTCAGGGCCATAATTCTGTTGCACTGAACATGAAAAATTAATCCCAATCCTGGACTCTCTTGACAAGCACGCTGACTCCGTTCTTCCCCTTCGTTTCAGGAATAAGCTGATCGCTCCCAAACTCTACGTCCTCGACAGTGGTTCCTTGCAGTTCAAGGTCGAAGCGGGAAACCACAGCGGCGAGGCAGAGGTAGAGTTCTGCCCAAGCAAGACTTGGTGGGGTAAGATGATGAATTAGTACAAGTTAGAGTGGATTGGTAGATGGAGGGATAGAATGATCGATGGAGATGAAGGTTATTAGAGAAGGTGAAATCGGGCGGTCAAAAGGTAAAAGCAAGGGGAGGTTGTAAAGGTAGTTACTCACTGAATCCCCACGCAGTTCCTAGCACCCTTCGAGAACGGCAGCAGATAGCGCTCTAGCCTCCTTCGCTCCGCAGCATCCACCATCCAGCGCTCCGGCTTGAAAGCAGCAGGGTCGGGGAAGATGGTCTCGTCCTCGTGCATGAAGATGCGGGTCATACCGACCGGGGTGCCGGGCATGATCTCCCAGTCGCCGTACCTGATGATCTGATCGGGGGATATCCGAGGGAGCCGCGCGGAGACACCGGAAGAGAGACGGAGCCCTTCAAGACAGGTGGCGGTGAGGTAGGGGAGCTTTTCGAGTTGCAGGAGCTTTGCCGGCGTGTACGGGTCTGGCTGGAGGGTTCGGATCTCGGCGCGGAGTCTTTGGAGTATAGGCCGATTGAGGCAGAGGTGGACGGTGATGACGCGGAGCGTGTGCGCCGTGGTCTCGGTGCCGGCGCTGACAATACTCTGTACTTGATCGCGGAGGCACTCTACAGTCTTTTCCTGTGCCGGGAGGACGTCCGATTTCAGGATCTCACGGAAGACTGTCTGGTGGAATTTTTCGTTGATTGCTCCGCTCTCCGCAGCTGACATGACTTTCATGATCTGGACAATGCAGTCCTGAGCGAGTTGGTTAGTGATTCAGGACGTCCAGATACTCTTTGACTCACATCTTGAAATGCCTTCCAATGACCGGATTTTGGCAGCAGCTTCTGGATGACCCAGCTTGGGGTCATAGCGTAGATTTGATTGAACCAGGGAATGTGCTTTCCCAGGTGCCAGATAGGGCCCACGCCTTTAACACAATCACACAGGTCTGCATTGAAGTCCTCATGGTCCAGGTTCCCGTAGCTTTTCTCCATAGCATACTCCGTAACAATGTCCATGGTGAAAGCTGCATAAGCATACCCAAGAGGCATGACCTTGCCTGAATCTGCAAATTCCTCCATGCGCCTCGAGAGTTTCTCAACCTGGCCTTGAAGCACCGGTTCAAGGGAAACAATCTTTTTCTTTGAGAAGAAGGGATTCAGAGATGCTCGTCTGATCCTGTGCAGATTGTGATCAGTTGTACCGTGCGCGGAGAACGGAGCGTTAAGTGGCTTGACGGCAAACTCGTCTTTATTGAAGCGACCATCATGCCCATACAGCTTTTCGTAGAAATCGTGATCGTTGATGTGGAGCTCATAAGGGCTTATGCGCACAATGGGGCCTTGTGTGAATCGTCGTGTCAGCCGAGCAGACGTTTATGTGGAAGACTTGCAGGCAAGGGAAGACTGTAAAAGAAGTAGCTGTAACCATATTTATCATGCATCTCCTTGATTTTGAAGATGTACATCCCTCCTTTCCACAAATCGTAGTAGGCTTCATAGTATCGTGTGATCGCTGCCAACCTAGGACCAGGAAACTTTGCAAGCGGATGCAAGAAAAGACGATAGAAAGCAAGACTGATAAGATATGAGAGGGCTAGAGCACTGGAAAGTAACAACAGTTTGGGATACATGAGAGTTCCCATGATGCCCACCGTGAAGGAAGAAGAACTATACTACGGTATAGTAGGTATCAGAGATTCATTCAAGGAAAGCCAACCAACTATAAATGAATTGCAGGTAACCGTGGCCCAATGGGTGGAAATTGCATAAGCTTGTACGTAACGCGTAGTTGCTACTGCAATGCTCATCCTACTGTAACATAAGTGAAAGTTGAGCGTTACAGTAGGATGAGCATTGCAGTAGCAGCTACACACTGCGCGCGGGGGTTATCCACCACTCTGTTGTAAAATTCGATCTTTTTTGATGGGTCAACGGAGCGGGTGCCAAGAGAACATTATTATCCACCTCTCTGGCGTAGCATAAGCCAATTTATCATTGGCTGACAGCCGCGCAGCAGATATAAGCTTATTATGTCCACCAACGGGAAGCTCACAGTTCGACCTTAAATCTTTTAAGGTCATATTAGTGGCGGCGATTCAGCTAATGATAAACTGGCTTATTTTATACTAGTAGGGCTAAGAGACTTAAGGTTAAGGTTACGAGATTAACCTAATCTGGCTAATTTAGTGGCTGGCACTGACTAATCAAAAAGAGATCGAATTTTACGACAGAGTGGTGGATAGTAGGGTGCAACCCCCTGTAAGTGGGTTCCGGAGGGATCCACCCGTTGGGCCACGGCTAGGTAGAGATGAGTAACAGCAAACATCGACCGGCTCAGTTGGCCCCTCCTCAGCCCAGCTACCAAAATGCTCATGTACTTAGCAGGCGAAGGCCCTCTGGAAACTATGCCTAAATTACCATCAATGTGTGCTTAGTTTTGGCCTAACTGTGATATGATCTAGTTTACAAAGAATTATGCAGCTAAACATCTGAAATCCAATAGAATTATATTATTTAAGACGTCATTTTCATCAAATGACAGTCAGATTATGACTAAATTCTAGTCACTTAAGCCTCTTGACCATTTTGGAAATAACAAAACATCTGTTAAATTACTAAGGATCAATACCTCATCATTTTCAGAGCCCTTCTCTTATTAAGTAGGTTGTATGCAGAACCTCTTACCTCATTATAATTTTTGCAGTTCTCTCAGTGATGCCACAGGATGCAGACAAAGAGCTGCCGTAATGATTTTTTAAAGATGCACTCAAAGTAAAGAGTAAGAGCCCCCGCAAAAAGGTTGCATACCATGTAACCTTTCGTTTCTTTTGTCATTGACCTGTGAACACAATCCTCCTAAGCCTGAGTGCAGTATGGAGTACATACCACGTACTCCATCTTCCTTGTCTAACAGACTGTCCCACCACTAAACCGTACACTGCGTAGATCTACATCAATGGACCAATTCTCCCTCTCAGGCTCACGCCCCACTATGCCTGACCGTTTTGGTCGTCATTTTCGTTTGATTCCAGTTAACTAGCTGGATCGTCTTTTTAACGATAGAGTAATGTTGTGAAAATGAGGTCAGTCTGACCCGGGAGGTGAAGTAAGGAACGCTAAGACCTAGGTCACGTGATCGCATTGGAGAGATCAGATGTACTCTGTACAACGATTATCGTCACGCCTGGTATCAAAAGACAGTACATAAACTGCTTCGCCAGATGGACAGCGCTGATAGGTTTAGGCTGCTACATGGTCCGAGCCCAACTTGGACAATCACGCAGTCACGTGATCGCGGCCCTTGCGTTAGGGCTCTTGCCGCCGCTGCCCTCCAACAAATATCACAATGGCATTTGCCTACGCTGCGATTACGATATCATTGATGCTGTGTTGAGTTAAAACCTCGGAAAGATGAAAGCAGGAGAACAATCTTTCTGGATCATCTGGCTATAAAATCTCCAGCAAGTCCAGCTTGGGCTTTCGTGGTAGAAAACGCGATCAGGTCGCTTGTTCAATATGCGGTTGCTCAATACATCAACAACTAAGCCCGAGGAGTTCAAGCCGGACCAGATTCCCCCCTACGCCATCCTCTCGCATAGATGGGCCGACGATGAGGTGTCTTTAAACGATCTAGCACATTCATCCAAGAGACAGACCACCAGATACCAAAAGATCCAAAGTTGCTGCCGACAGGCCGCGCAGGATGGCTTCGACTGGGTCTGGGCTGACACGTGCTGCGTCGTATAGCCCCACCACCGGTGACAATTCCCTACGAAAATGGCGGTGTCTGCCGCCGAAAACGGCGGGAGTCGTCACTCGGTTTTAAGCCCTGTTTTGAGTCATAACAACCCCGCGGCTGAGCTGCAGTGATCAAGCTGTTAATTTGCCTGGATTCTGCCTGGATTTTAGCCCCGCAGGACAGAGCCGGAGTGTTGAGATGTTAGATATGAAGGTGATGAATCTCTAATAACTTTCTGATGAACATTGCTACCACTCTGTGGAAGTGAGTTGCAATAGCAAGTTATTCTATCTAAATGAGGGTGCAGAGAGTGCATTTATACGTACAAAGTTGCGATACCAAGCGAAATAGCGCGAAACGCAGATGCCGAAAATACATGCGGAGCTCATGTCAAGTCTGTAACAAAACACTGGTGCAACGCGTAGCAGAATGCACTCAAACAGTTCCACACTTTCCTTATGCTATTCCTGTTGAGACTTGTGGCGTGGACCTTGATTCTCTGTACGCACAGGCAAGGCGCTCTCTACAGAGCCTATCTCCTAGCCATATCAACGGTCTTTATATATCCATACGCTCGCCCCCACTGTCGTTACCTCGCTGTCGGCCCTGACGCAGGAATAGCGGTGTTACCTGCGCCCACGCTATTACCTACCTTCTCCACCTACCAACATGATATTCGCCTCACAACAATTCTTATCACATATTCTCAACAGACAGAGACAGACCGCGAGAGAGAGATCAATTCATCGAGAGACGGCTGGATAGAGCATAATGAACAATAACGGTATATTACATCATCTACCTCAATTCGTACGTCTTCCAGTTCCTCCAAGCAATTTCTTCGGTTGACCGCTCCAGAATATTATTCGATTCAGCCACCGAGCGAAGCTTTGTCAAGTCTGTGAGGGTCTCGATCTTGAAAAGATCTTCTATCCAAGAGGGGAAAACCCAGAAGTGATTGGAACTATCGTAAATACGAGGTTCTGGATTACATGCCAGTTCTGTGTCTTGTGCCATCTGTTTCTAAAGGCGCTAGAAGATGACTATTGGTTTGCCAACAAATGTCGTCTTCAGCAGAAAGGTTGGGTCCTAGTACTGAGCGCTAGAAACAGTCATGGATGCCATATGCCCCACGGCTGCACTGAGCGCATTTGGAGACAACAAATATACGTCCAATTATACTGGAATTTCAATCGGGATACGGATCTAATCCATCTAAAATTGTTTACCCCCGCCGTACAAGTTCTTGCAGATGAACAAGAGCTAGATTGGAGAGGAATACTGAGCAGATACACAGTGAAAGAGTCTATACATTTAGGGGTACGGAACTTTGGGCTTGGGCGGTGGATCGATATTCCACGAATAGACATTGACACTGTCAAGCGGTGGCTGCAGATTTGCGACCGCGAGCACCGGCGTGAGACCAGCTATTACCGCTGTATTCCCATGAAAACGAGGGATTCGCCAAATTTCTCCAGTTTAAGATTTATCGATTTAGAGCTAAACTGTATAGTTCAGTGGACATCTAAGGCCCTGCCGATCTACCTGGCTCTCAGTTACGTATGGGGAAGTTCAGATGAAGGATCTCATCTGAAACTAAACCAGGAAACCTCAAGCTGGCTTTTAACGCCTAGCAGTTTAGCTAAATTCGATAACCGGATTCCTCGTACTATCGGTGATGCTATGGTTTTAACCAAACGCTTGGGTCGACGCTACCTTTGGGTGGATGCCCTTTGCATTCAGCAGGATAACCTTTTCGATAAGAATGCGCAGATTCCTCTTATGGCCCATATCTACTCACAAGCAGACTGCACCATCGTTGCGGGTGCTGGGGCAAATGCTTGGGCTGGCTTGCCAGGGGTTGGGACACCCCGTACTGGGAGACAATATGGAGCGCACGTCAAAGGCTTCGATTTGATAACCACCCGACAGCATTTCCGAAATGGGATGCAAAATTCCGTTTGGGAAACAAGAGGGTGGACCTTGCAAGAAAAAGTGTGCTCGCGAAGGATGCTAATCTTCACGGAAAGACAGGTTTTCTTTCAGTGCAAATCAAGTTTACTATACGAAGACACTAATTTAGAGAGTGAGGCCATGAATTTTGGCGGCCCTGCTTCGGCCCATGAATCAGCCGCCAACCTATTTGCCTCTCCTGCTAGTGCATATATTTCGACTGTGAATGACCTGTGCAAACGATCCTTCGGCCTTGAGAACGATATCTTGCATGCCTTCAAAGGTATCGAGATGTGGCTTTATGACTTTTCTCTGAAAGAAAGAGAAAAAGGAGAAAGCCGCTTCCACGATCTTGTGGAGTATTTCCATTGGGGTTTCCCGGAGTCGATATTTGATGCGGTAGTCTCCTGGTCTTTTCCGGTGCACAATCCTTCTTGGAGAAGAGACCATCAGTCATTCCCAGGATGGTGTTGGGCAGGCTGGAAACTCCAGCCTACGCTTAATTTCACATGCCCCTTCCCCGGCCCTATGGTCAACGTCAAATTTGCCTGGTTCGTGTTTGACGAGAATAGTAGGCTACGGCGTTTAAGAACACTACCTGAACGGATAGGTGCACGCCAAGTACCTTCCGAAGAACATAAACAAGCTCAAGACGAAGTATCACTAAGGCACATTCCAACAATACCTAGCCATATTCCCCAATCTCATTTGTTGTTTTTCTGGGCCACAGAATCGCTACTTACGGTCGACCAGCATGGCCGCAAATACTCCTATCTGCAAAGAGACTACTCAACTTTACAGAACTGCACGTTCATCATTCGAAATCCATACACAGGAGATCAAATTGGAGAGATTACACTGCATAAGGAGTGGCGATCGCGGCAGCCGGACAAACTTCCTTTCATAACCGTAGCCAAAGCCTGCGACGGAGATCTGACTATCCGAAACCCAGATTTTGGATGGTATGTTATGTTGGTTGAATGGATTGATGGAATTGCACACCGAGTCCAGATGCTTGAAAGGCCGATACAAAATGAAATCTGGGATAGAACAATCCCCCAAAGAAGACTTGTATCCCTTGCTTAGGTTAGTTGAATTATCAATCATCTTTCAAAATTGAAAATGTTGATACTTTTTTTATCTTCTTTCTCTCCAGCATGTGAGAGAGGGGTTACAGAGCTTATTTCTTGGGTCTATTCATAGTTGCTAGGTGCATAAGAAAGATCGCTTTTAGGAATCTTCAAAAGGTCATGTGTAACTTAAATCATTTCTGGCATTAGGTAGTTGAAAAATCTTGGGGAAAAAATCAGCGTTCGGAAACAGCACAACCGTTCCAATCGTACAAATGGTACCGTGGTACCGACTAAGCAGTCCTGGTCGTTCCAACGCTACAAAACCAGGCCCTCTGTACCATTGCAATTGAACCAGTACCGAAATAGGTAGTAGATATACTCCGTAGATAGCTTGGAATTGAGAATTAAGAAAGGAGGGGGGGTCCGCCGCGCCTTGTTTGCTGCTAAGTTGAATTTATCAACTAATTAGAATGTCTACACGTAACTCCTGCGATTTGTCTGCTTTTGATTAGTCAATTTCCTTCTGTAATTTCGCTTTAATTTTGTCACACAAATAGAGCACGTTTTTAGTGGTACTAAGCTCACAATCTCACTGAATCGAAATAGGCTTAATAAGGATATTATTAAGAACATGGAATGTCTAAATCGGTGATATTAGACTATAGTGGGCTGGCTCCAGCCGAGTTTCTTTGCCCATGATTGGTTGCTATTTCGGAGATAACCATGCAGGAATTTGCCTTGTTCTCCTTTTTGCGGACGGCAGAGGACATCAGGCTGAGGCATCATTGTGGACTTAAGAGAGTGGAAAGGCGAGTTGCGGTCTCTCCACCTTCTTTTCAAGTCCTTTGCATTCTCAATTTAGCACCGCTTTACACAATGTCAAATCCATCCTCTACCAATATCAGTCAGAGAAGGAATGGCCCGTCAGAGACCACAGGACACTCAGATGATCTCGAAGGGGCCAGCAAATCCCTTTCGCAAGAAGAAAAAGTCGTCTTACAAGTCATCGATGCGCCATATGACGGAACAAGGCCGCAGAAACGTGAAGTGTTGTGCTTGGGTGACAACATTGCTGAGGGAATGAGAAGTCTTCCGCCACATAGTAGAGGACTGCAAGGATTTTAGATGTTACTGTCCATTCTGATTTCATCATCACCGGCCTCAGAGATATGAAGGGTCCGGAGACAACACGGCCAGCTAGAGATGTCTTGATAAAGTTTCTGCAAGATACATATACGCAGCCAACTTGAGGAACGGCGAATTTTTAGATGGCTCAATGATCCGCTTCCCGTCAACGATATCGGTAGCATATCCTCCCAATTGTCTCAGCGTTTGGGCGGCGGCAACACACGTTTTTATCGCCTTGTCAACCGTATGAGCCTGCAACAGGATCCTTTGGATCTTGACCTCCGTCCAAGAGACTCATACTTGACTTGTGCGCAAGTTACAGATGACCGATTGATAGGTGAGTGTGTTTGATTATGTTGTGCCCTGTTGCTTATAAGCCTGCAGTCATCATAGTGAACGATGTCGGGTCCCGGCAAAATTTTCGCAGGAACAATTCTAGTGAGGACCATATCCTGTTTGAGAATCCACGCAGTATTTCGAAGATGCTGGATGGGACGAGTTGGACCTCCCTTTCGGACGGATCCCCCGACACTTTCGCCAAACTCTTAGTCCTGGACTTCTTTCTTGCGTCCATTTATTTGCAACCCGTTGATTACTATCGACCCCTAATCTACCCACAATTGCCCAAAAACAAGTCCTGACGTTTTCGCTCACCAAAAACCCTCATCTTCAAGTTCCGTTAGGCCTCTTCGAACCTCGTCTATCTACTAAGAGCAGGGAGGCATTCAAGGAGTGTTATAAGCTTGCAGGATTCCATTCGTTGGGTGCTCGCAACTCTCAAGCCAACTATCATCGCAGGCACACAGCAGCCTCACCACGAAGACCGTGACAGACGCGTGCAAGTGCTGGAGAGACTGTGTTTGGAGCGAGGCGAAAACGCCCGGAGGGCCGTAAAGGCTCTAACCGCCAGCTGGACTACCTGACAAAGAGGCACGCCATCCGTGAAGCCAAAACGATCAAAATTCCGACAATACTGGCCTCCTTGTATTTGCCCTTGTCACTCTCGGCCTCCTTGCTGAGCATGCAATCTCCATTCAAAAAGATAGCCCGCAACGAAGTGAACTTGGTTGGAACAAACCTCCTGTTCGACTTCCTTGGCGTATTCATCGGGCTCGCCACCGTCACTTTATTCATCATATATGCCATTAGACTCGGCCTTTGGGTCAGATCAAACGGACTGGGTATGCTGTCGAAGAAATTCTCCGGCCCGTTCTCGATATTCTACTATGGAAGACGATGGCGCTATGATGGGCTAGGAGGCCAAATTTTTGATATCATCCGCGTCGTCACTGCATGGTGGGTCGGCGCCGGACTTTGCATCACGCTCCTGGTGATATTTCTCGTTGGCATGCTGAACACGGCCCCAATCGCATGGACAACTGCCAGATGGATGTTCACAGCGTATCTTGCGGTTAGCGGGGCTCTCCTCGGGTGCTATATCGGTTGTTACTATTACATGTACTACAAGAGCTTCGGGGGCGATAGACTCCGTGTGTTACGTGTGCCAGCTCTAATTGGCAGGCGATAGATAAGCTCCTGTTGCTCATCTGCGCCTTTGGCTACTCGTTACACGTTACAATCAAGTACTTGAACAACCCATTGCACCGTGCTCTCCTCTCAGTAAGCTCGGATTGAAATCGTTTGCTAATATGTTCGGAGATTCAGAAGCTAGCTTATACAATATCAATAACGAGTTCACTTGCATCTATAAGTGAGTCATAGTTGTCTGTGTAATCTAGTAAAGCTAGAGACAGTTGTACACCTGGCTAGTAAGCAGGGCAGCGCATGCGCTACGACAATTGACAGCTACTTAGCTATAACTTAGACTGTCCAATTATCGCTCACGTTATACCCCTGCAATTGATATCCAAGAACAAAAATAGACTTTATATAAGCCTTTACTGCTCCGGTCTGGTTTAGCCAGGGTAAGTCGTCGCAGTCCCACCTCGTCATCCAGTCATTTTCAGAGCTGCTGCTCCAACCAACTTTTCACACACGACGGCGGCAGAGGAGGACGTTTGATATCCTTGCCGTGCCTGCGTGACTGCGTGGAGTCTGTTTACTCTTAGGTAGTTACGAAGGGCTGGTCGGCTAGAATATGAACACCATCCACGGAGACTGGTGAATTTTCCACTTCCTCATGCGACCTTTGGCATCTACACAACGCGCGATCGACTGCTCGGCGCTTTCAGTCGTCGATGATTACGGAACACACCAGCTGGAAGTACGTCCTGCTTGGTGAGCCTTGCTTGCATCGATTTCCCCGCGAATCGGCCATCCTGCGACTGTCTTTTAGGTTTCAAGGAGAGAAAGGCTGATGGAGTCTTCTGGCATGCGGAGAAGAAATCGGCTGAAAATTCACGGGAGAGGCCACGCTTCGTAGGCATCATGTGGAAGATGGGTGCGGGGTGGGCATTGGTTGCTGTAACGCCACCATCAACAGTGGAGTCCAAAGGTTCGAGAGAAGGGCAACCAAAGATAGAGAGACCTGCAGGAGAGAAGGCGCTATGGCGTGGTCTTCGGGGCTGAGCAGACAGCGCTGGTGAGTTTATAAAGCGGCAATCTTTGGCGTGATGCATGGAAATGGACAAGATAAATAGGCAGTTGTAGCCAACGCGAATTTGGCAAAGGATTAGAGTCGCTCATCTATAAATGAAGCCCCTCGCCTTCCTCTCTTGGATCCAGCGGCTTTTTCTCCTCAAGATTAAGAGCCTGCATTTACCCCTTCTCTTCCGTATTGTCTATAATTTTCTGCAGCGCACCGGTAATCCCACTGTGACGGACAGCGTCCACTCCTACCAACCTCATTCTGGAAGGATAGCTCATTTCCTCACAGCACGCTGCTCCTTTCTAACAAACTCTAGACCTGTCCTCGAGCAATTCTAGCTCGAGGCAATCATCCATTGCTAGTCAGAACAAACCGGTAGACGGTTTTCGCAACTTTTGAGGTGCTTTCTGTTTTGAAAATAGTGCTGATCATATCTAATGTGTCTCCAAAGAACTATTATGTGGACGGTGATAAAATCGATGACGACGAGCTTCCTTCGCTCCAGAGACTCCTCTCACCTGCAATGCAGGCCAGGCAGTCTAACCTCAAAGTGAGCTGGTCATCATAAACGGCTTACGATGGCCTTGCGCTGATTGAATTTGGCTAATAGCCTTTAACATACCTGTCCGCCTTCGGAAATACCCGCGCTGTCAGATTCAAAGACAATTAAAGATTAAAGTCCTTGAACTGAATGTAAACAGCACTTGCGAATCAAACAGGCTGGTACTGTCATCATTGCTTATGACCGAAAGATGAAAGAGCCGCTATTAAAGAGGTGAAGGGATGCAGCAGAGGTGAATTATTGAGGTTAAAAGCAATCTGTCATACTGATAGTAAAACAAGCAGATCTGTCAGCAAATGTAGGAGAGTGCCTTCTTGCCCAGGACGTGGGTTATGACTACCAGAAAGATGTTTGCGTTTTGGACTCTTGTTGATAGAGATGTTGGAATCGGACTTGGTCTTGATCAGGGGTTCGAGCCAGAAACCGTACCATGTGTTACGGGCTGTCCTAGGCCGGGCTAGGTACTACGGTATTGGGCAGAAACATCCCTAGTACGGCGCTAGTATTTGTTCCTCAAACAGCTGCTTTATGTAACTACTAGGCTGACCATGAGTTAGCTGTACTGAAATAAGTTAATCCTGTGGATACTGACGAGAGAAGCCTCAATAAAGCGTGGTGGCGACGTATTTACTTAGCACCGTACTAGGAACACTTCTGCCTCCTACCATATGTAATCTGTAAGGCATCTGGAGTAGAGCAGGCAGCCAAAACTGGGCGGGGTTGATAGTTATTGCCAAGCCCGGGCGGACGATTATCCCGAATCAGGCGAAAACGAAACTGGCGCCCCAATCTGGTTGCTCGGAGAAAGCCGGTAAAAAATTGCCTACTGAACACCACAAATTTTACGTAGTACTCCGTAGGCGAAGCAAAAATTTAAACACGATCGTTTCTGAGTCCAACTCTGTAAGACTGAACACGTGTGTCATGTGTTGGGACAACGTAAGACCACTTACCTAAAATGCTCAAAAGGAGCTGCTGTGCATGCCCATAAAAAGCCTGAAAGTATGCCGATTCCATTGTGTTCGCGGGTAAGTGGTGAATGGTCAACCAGTCCATCAACCGAGTTATCACCCTTTTCTGAGATACGTCATTATCAGCTTCTGCCCCCGTTGCGGCGAACTGCTGAAGCTGCAAACCGGTGGACATATCCCCTGTCCTTTCCCCATTGGTTTGCATACTCAGCCTGCGAACTTCCAAAATACGAGAGCTGGCTCATTGTGCCAATCATGTTCTTGGAACTTTCCCACTTGTACTTTTGCAGGTTGCAGGCCCTGCAGTCGGCACACCAGCATACTTCTTGGAGTCAGCCTTGTACTTCTGTTGAACTCCTTCATGGCCAGTGTGGTAGTCGTAAGTCGAAAGACCCGACCTGCATATCGTCCCGAAATCTGTCACAGTCCACGTAGCTGCTGACATAATAGCCTCAACCCTTGCCGTCATGGGCAACTATGAGGAACGGAAGCAGCTGTTCCAGCGGTTTGCCTGGTCGACAAAGCTGATGGTGACCGCCTATACGTAGACGGACTCCAACGTCAGCTTTATCTTCGCGATCTGGATTTACCAGAAACATAAATCCAACATGGCACCGAGGAGGATTCACCGCCAGGCCACAAATCGAGGACAGCTCTCTGGGCGGGCGTTGGACCCATATCGCGAACGCATAACTAAGCTTTATAAAATTGAGAAGAGACCATTGAACGAAGTGATGAGAATCATTGGCCAAGAGTCCAAAATGGACGTCTCCTCCATGTTCGTGGACTTCGATTTTATTACACCTTGTCCACTCAACTGATCTGTTTTACAGGGAGAAGATGTTCAAGGATAGGCTGCGTTTGTGGAATGTCAAGCGCAATCTAAGCAGAACCGACGTCGCGGCCGCTCTACAGCTAATTCGGCAGGCAGAACGCAACGGACGCTCTGGCAACCTTTACATTAGGGATGAGCCTGTCGACAGGGAACGTATCGAAACATATCTGAGGCGGGCGAAGGAAAGTATGGATTCCATTCTCGCAGCAAGCGATTTAGGCGATCATATACCCTCCCATGTGCAATTACGGCCGTTGGACTCAGATATCACGATGCCATCCTCTACTCTCCTGACCCAGCCTGGGTCAAGTCCTATGACCTCAACTTCAATGTACAATGGGTCGCATATCACAACCATCCCATCGACTTCGAGGTCATCAACAGAACCTGCGGAGTCTAACATTGCGACAGCAGAAAGCTCACAGAAACACGGAGAGGCGAACGGATGCGAAAACACTACTTGGGGTGATATGACTTCCGGGTCTCCATCCGCAAATAGAAATCAGGGCCGTATTGCGACACAGTCGAATCTCGATCAGCCAGAAGCCTTTTTGCACCTGGGTGGTTTCACGGATTTGGCATATCCCACGGACACTGTTCAACAGTTTTCCAGACACTTGATCGATCACGGAGAACTGCCTGTTGCGTTACCGGACCTGTTAGATCTATCCTGGCGGATGTCTGCACCGCCGTCGCCGGATGAACCCTCTTCAGGGTGTAGTACGATATCTTTAGGTCTTGATGAGAGCTCGCTCTGTCCACGACGAAATGCCTTGGAAGAAGCAACAGGCATGGATAACCATGAACGTCATCAGGCTAAGGATGAACCTCGTGAGGAGCTGCGGTTCGAAAGTGCGGGCTTTCAGATTGAGCCACGGAACTACACGGCCAACTTTCTCGCATTTTCCATTACTGGCTGCCTTCGTCTGAACGAAGGTATGGATGATGCAGCGGAATCGGCCATGAGAGTAGCAACTACGATTTTCGCAGAGATGATAGCCATTCGTCACGAATCCTGCTTGACAAGTCTAAGTCTCCTGACGGCGTTGCTGGAAGCTCATGGGAAGCGTGAAGTAATGACTTGCCTCTTGGACAAGTTCAAAGCCGCAGCATTATCCATGAAGCATCTACCTGAGAAGGATTCGGTTGTACTAACTATCAGATTTATGAGTGACATTATGAGTGGTATAAAAATTGAATCCCTGTCAAACCCTGAAGACCTTAAAAACGTGCTCAATGACTTTGAAAGATACTGGGGCCCAGGTTCGCCTTCTACATTGGTGTGTCTTTGTCACTTAGGCTGGCGCCTGGCTGGCGAGAAAGACGCTGTACGGCTCACTGAGGGCTGGGACGTTCTATCCCGTGCTCGCTCAACCGCAGAACGGATCCTTGATCCATGCGATCCACAGACAATCATGAGTCTGACCATGCTTGCTCGGGTCCTGCACAATCTCGATAGATATCCTGAAGCACTAGAGGTGATGAGGACCGCTATGAATCGCATCATCATACGTTTTCCAGACTATCATCCATACCGGCTTTCAGGTCTTCGGAGGTTTTCTCTTTTCATGCAGAAGCTTGGGGCCTACGACGCTGAGCCAATACTCCGCGAGGTCGCTGCTAAACGTCTGCGAGTCTTGGGACCTGACAGTCTTTTGACCCAGGCAAGCATGAAGGAATTGAAGAAATTGCTGATTAAAAAGGGCAGACTGGATGATGCAGGAAATGCTTGGAGAGACACATCAGAAGTGGCATCACGTTTGTTTCGGGGGGTTAGCATCGCTTGTTCATTTTAGGGACAAGAATGGATCGAGTTTGTAGAACGTGACATGGGTTTAGACTACACCCCAGATTTGGCCTTGAATTACTACAACGGTACTTGGAAATTTCATGGGTTTATGGTTCTTGTATCCATCACTAGAACTTCCCTTTCAAATGATAGCAAATGAGCGGGTGATGTAGTCAAGGCTAAGCGCTGCCTGCTTAAGATTAGGCATCATGTTGAAGACATCTGAATAATGGTAGGCAGTGGATGCGGCGTGTCCTGAATGCAACATCCCAGTGATGCCTGCAAACACTTTCCTCGCTAGAAGCAAGCTCACCTACGGATCCATCCTCCGAGTCGTTGAGATGAGTACACGAAAGACGCTGCTGACCAAGACACATGTTCCGAAACCATCTCGTTCCAGTCTCCATCATAAGGCACGGATGATCGCCAAACTCATAGTGGGAATGAAAAGAAGTCACCAAGTATACCAGGACAAAGGGGATTCGAGGGCTGGCCCTCTCTTTCCTCACATTCGCATCAACGATAGAATGATGACCGCCGCCTAAAAGCAAGAGCCTTTCTTCTTTACTCTCCTAGCTGTTTTATGCCATGGCCACATCGTTCTCCCTTCCATCCTCTGGGCACAACCTCTCTGCTCGCATTTGCGGCGTTTCCAGCAACTAACCGGTTTCAGGGCGTCCGGGCAAAAAGCAACCAGTGCAATGCCATGCTTGACGCCATGACAGTCGAGATCCACAACGGCGTGTATGTAATCGTCCAATATGATGGCAATTCTTTGATTCCAAATGAGAGCAGCCCAAACAAGAATGATACTGAAACTCCGGCGAAAAAAAAGTGATTTTGATAATGGTGATGGCTATGCCGTCCGATGAGGTAGAGAGTCATTACGCACCATGCTGCGGACGCACAGAGGAACACCACAGGATCCGGATCGAGCAAGAAATTAAGCTGGTCGAGAAGAATCAGTGAGGTCTCTAACTCGTAACAAGAGAGCATTCCGGTATATTTTTCACCAAAGAAGCAGCGTACCCAATCTTCCACCGGTCGCCATCTGGACCTATGCTTCAGTGTTCCTGCAAATGGACTCAGCTCCTATCCTTGAATCGACTCAACAATGATCTTGGTACCCGAACTTTCCCAACTGCCTTGAATCTTGTGTTGGCAGACAATGGCAGCAAGGACAAAATTGCCTGCACAACATATCCAGCCTAATTGTTGCAGCGGTTGCGCCTTTCTCCCCGTCGGTCCGATCTGTTTGTTCCTCGAGCCGTCGGGAGTCAGGATAGTCTGGTGCGTTGCACGCTGGGACTCTTTTGCCCATGTTGAAAGCTTGGAATACATTCAGCGTGCAGCTGCACCTTGAAATGTCGGAGCAATGTGTCTCAAGATGGCGGATGTATTGTTGAGCTCATCGCTAGCACACTAAAAGGAGCTCGGAGGCTCATTATGTACCCTTAAAAACACCGGGGTAAGGCAGAGCCTCCGGGCTTCAGCCTTGTACTTGCAGCTAAGTTTCGCAACGGATCTTCATACCCAGGTAGACAGTAAGTTGTTATGAATTTCAAATATTGACAGCCGCCATTCTGGGACAACGAGAGTGTACGGAGGATTTGAACCTAATAGTGAGGGAATAAGAAAGACATGTTGGTATATTTATTTCGATATACGTCTTCTACAGAATTCTTTCTCCTGGCTAATTTCTGTACGTTTTCCAACCCCGCGTAGAAGACTGTATTGTAATTGGAATCGGCCGTTACAGGCTTCAGCCGTCCTCCATGCTTCCATCACCATACCGATATGTTATTACAGGGTAATGGAGCCTGTCAAGTCAAACAGTGCAGACTGACGGGACCAGGCTGCAAAAGTCGCGAGGGGAAAAAGGTGGGAGTCGGCCTTGGGCGCTCTCAGCAGCCCCTCCACGGTTCGCAGTGGTTCGCAACCCCGAAGTGCAGGACGAATAAGGCAAATGTGAGAGCCTCAAATGTGGGAGCCGCAAGTGTGGTCAAGCCCCACCTTAGTCCCTCGTTGACCCGTTGAATTGATGGTCAAACCGAGCATCGGCCACGCGCTTTCGGTTTAATACTACTGGCACAGCATCCTCAAGATCAAGCTCCAGTCTTCCATCGTTGCCCACTTTCCCTTTTGACCCTCCTTCGTTATGTCGCCCATTTAGCCCTCTAGAGCAACGATACACCACGTGAGGGATCGTCAACAGCACGGTTCGCTCTGACCAGCGTACTATCCTCCAGTGTTCATTAAGATCTGGAGAGCACCCGCTTCTGGTACAAGCAGAAAACCAAAATCGGCACGAAATGCAGGCCTGAACAGACAACTACTGTCAACCGTCAACCTAAATTTGGGCTCAACAAGCCTCTGATTCCTAGAGGTAGGCCAAATTCAAACAGATGGTCTGACATACTATCACGGAGAAGCACTTGGAGGAATTATAACGAAAAGAGGCCACGGGAGAAGAGCAATTGTTGCCCTGTACTCAGATCGTTGAGCCCTCAAGTCAACCCGGTTTACAGCGACTCGTCTCCCCAGCTGCCCAATACTTTGGGCCTGTACAAAGAAACAATCATGGACTAACTTGATTTTCTCCGAAGGATATTTGATCTTCACTAGCGGCATCGAACCTTCTGTGGCCCTCCAACTACAGAACGAAGGCCACACCCACTGTCGGAATTCCTGCGAGGTACCCACTGAACCAGAGATACACAGTAAGCCCGCCTCTGGTACGCACGTGTGGAGACACTTAGAATGCTTACCATAGGTAGATCCTCGTGGTACGAAGAGCTGTCTACGCTCAATCTCTTCTATCTCACCAGCGAAGACTTGGTCGCCACGCCCGCCAAATATCGATCGGTAGAGTTCTCGGTGGTTGATCATTTCACAACTAAGAGCCAGACCACTCGTATCCCGCCGCCCACGCCTAGGAAAACAGCAGTTGATTTGTCGACTGGCCATACGTCGGGAGGGTTTCGTTTCTATCCGAGAAATTACGTCGCTCGGGTTGAGCAGATCCCTTGCAGGATGAATCCCAAGGAACAAGACAACGTCGTCACTTATCCTTCGAATTCTATTGAATCAGGCCAACGATCGCCGTCTTTCGAGCGCGAAGAACCAGACTCAGGTATCTTCCTACACCCGGAATCTCGTCCAATCACTCAAGAGCAGCTTGTACACGAGGTTAAAGGTATCTACGCTGGTTTGGTAATGGTGAAAAACAAATGCCTCGAGATTGACCAGCAACAAGCTACTACAACAACAAAACTTGGCGCTGAGCAATGGCAAGCTCTTGTCGCTCTCCACCGTACACTCCTCCATGAGCATCACGATTTCTTCCTGGCTAGTCAGCATCCCTCTTCCTCGCCAGCATTAGGGAGGTTGGCCACCAAATATTCAATGCCCACACGTATGTGGCGTCATGGCATTCACAGTTTTTTGGAGTTACTTCGGTACCGGCTTCTAGATTTGGGGGACCATATGACTTATTCAATGATGGCATTCCTCACAGAATCTGTACCTGGTTTTGAGGAGACGTGGATTGAATGCTTGGATGATCTGACGCGATATCGAATGGCCATTGAAGAAGCCGACATAAGGGACCGCAAATTGTGGGCTGCCGTGGCCAAAATGTGGTATGACAAAGCAGACGACCGGTCGTTACACGTCGGAAGAATCCAGCATCACTTTGCTGTGCTAGCCCGCCCCAGTATCGTGAATTTCTTCAACACCACGACAACGCAAGAAAGCCCGGATAGGCAGACCGAAGTCTTTCCTCGGAGTAGGGCTTGTCCTGGGCCCCTGCTTCCGAAAGATTGCCTGCTGCGAGATTTGACAGCGGCATCGTTTCATTCCTCGGCTAAAAACCATAGCCAAATGTGGCCGCCAGTTGGTGTGGTGCTCTCACAGCCCCATGATGCAGCAGCTGAAAAGGACTGCCTTGGTGAACAGGTCCAGAACATCACTCCCAGACCAGCGCATGGGTATCCAAAACGGGGCAATTGGACCGGCTGTGTCACAGATTCTAGGAATTCTAGCACTCTGACATTTCCTTTACGAATGATATCTCCTGCTATTCTGAACCTTGGCCTGGTCTACCTAGCGCTGAGTAGGATACCTGTTGCATTTGCCGAACAAGTTTTTGAGCCCTCACAGGGCTCGAATCGTTCGAGTTGGATTGGCGCACTGCTTCTATCGTTCATAATTGGGGTTGCTGGGCGGATGACCAAGGGTGACCTAGGACCCTGTCTCGCTTCCTCCATATGGCTTGGGTTGGCCTCGGCTGCTGTGTGGACCAGTTTGGACGGGTTGATGCGATGCGCTGCAGTCGCAGGTGTTATGATTCCTCTTCTCACTACCGCACTACACCGCGCTGAGAATAGACGCCAAAGTTTGAATTTCCGACGAAAAGAGAGTGACGACATGATGGAAAAAGCCGGTATTGATTCTGGCGACGAAGATGATAGTGACGAAGACTATGATAGTAGCGTTCTACTTGACTGGACAGCTGAACCTCGAGGACGCGACGGATCCACAGCGGCTGTAGCAAGTTTGGTGGCTGAGGAAATGTCTCGAAGCCAAACTTACGAGGATCGCGACAGCAGCCCCGAATCCTTCAATGGCACCTACGGGTTTGAGCGTTAGGGGTTCCAAAGACGATCAACAGCACAAAAATCCTCTCTGAGGAATGGAGGCAATAAAACTTGGACATACCAAATGTTGGCAAGGTTGTCTTCGGGACGCAAGCGAGCTGACGAAGGTCCCAGGTACTTTGAGCCATCTGATATCATTCTAGTACACTTAGAGCAGGCCCTGTCGCTAAGCAGCAAGCCCTTTTTTTTTCTCTTTTTGTCATTTCTTTCATTCTGCCCCGAAGATACCCTCGTGGAGTGGTCGTATCATGCAGTCTTTGGGAGCTTCACAGCCCCGGGCACGATTGACTCTGAGATGGTTCCAGTTGCATTGGCCTCGTTTCAGGGATTTGTCAAAAAGCTCGCGCCTTGCATTTGACAGCTTTTCCTCATGTTTTGGAAAGAGAGATACCCTCCATGCTGGATTTATGCGCAATTGTGCGACAAACTCATCGTATTGTGGAGAGCGTTTTGGAATCTCAATTCCCCGAGGAATTTTATCTCTTGGTAGGACATAGGTTGAGCGTTGAGCGTTGAGCGTTGAGCGTTGATTGTTTCAACACCGCATATCAAGCGAGCTAGAATGACTCACTATGATGGTGTGAGAATAGGAGATGTCCTCTTGTGGTATCAGCCTGTTACAAAATTCAAGCATATAGCGGAGAATATATCTCGGGGGCTGCAGGCCCTTTTTGGCGTGAGCTGGACAAGTAGTAGCCTGTGCAGGAACTTGGTACCAGTACCCAGTCTACCTAAATTGGGAACGTACATGAGGTGGCACTGCATAGCTGGCTAAGGGGTCTCACCATCATCATCTCTTGAGCCCCATATCTTGTCCTCGGTGCAGCCTGACCCCTGTACGGCGGACTGTTACAAGCTTAAGGCCAATTCAAATTTTTAGATTTTCAAAATCCATTTTGAACATTTAAGATCACTTTACAACACTCTCTTAGGGACACCCTTTTAAAGATACCCCCCTTAGGGACACCCCCTTAGGGACACCCCCTTAGGGATACCCTTTTAGAGACACCTTTTTAGAGACATCCTTTTAGGGGCATCTTTAGAGACACTCTCTCAGAGGTACCTTTAGTGACCCCCTCTCTAGGGGCACCCTCTCTAAAAGAATTCTCTTTAAGAGAACTCTCTTAAGAGTACAAAGTACCTTACAGTTAATCAATTAAATCTTTATACATACTCCTGTAGTGTGAAGTTAGGATAGAATGATTATTAGTAAGGGCTGCGGAGAATCTAAAATGGATTCTAAAAATCCAAAAATTTGAATTGGCTTTAAGCCTGTAACAGTCTGCTATACCCCTACTCCATCCCTCTCCAAACCGTCATACCCATTCAGAAAACACACAAACTCCAAAACTGATAAAAAAAATCGACACGTGCAACGGTGAAGCAATTTTCATCCTCGTGGGTAAGAATTGTTACAGTCATAGCCGCATTACTGTTTCTCTCCCCCCACAGCTGTAAGCCCCTACTGCCCCATCTGTTGAGATCTACCGTAAGATGTCTAGCGAGGTCGAGCAACACGGTTTCAGGAGGAAGAGGAGGCGATTTGCGCGCAGAGCTGATCGTGTGCTTCAGGAAAATACTGATGACCAAGAGCGAAGTGATAGTGCCAATGATCTGGGGAACTTCCCCCATGTGGACTTTGTGCGTCTCATATCTCTCATCATTGAGCATGAAATACCAATCCTCTTCCCTGGAAGCATGCGTCCGAGGAACACATTTGCTATGCTTGGGGCGGGCGGCTCCTTTCTCGTCTTCAGGGAAGAACGAACCATGGATCAGCTCGTCCTCCCGCCTGGCCAAATCCGGTCTCTTGATGACAGTATTGTACTCAAGCGGACGAGAATTCTCGATCCCTTGAACTCCAGTTCCCGGGAAGAGCAAAACCCTCGATACGCATCGCTACTAGCAGAGCTCCAAATTTTGCTACATTCAAGCATAATGGAGCATCCAAACTTTATTGATCTGCAAGGTCTGACATGGGACTATGAGACAGATGATCAAGACGGCTCAATATCAGTTTGGCCGGTCCTGGGACTGCAACAGGCCTTATATTCCATGGATACCTTGTCAGATGAGCTTTCCGATGCACCTTTATCCCAAAAGCTCCAGTATTGTTACGATATTGCCAAAGCGCTATCATTTCTCCACGATCGTGGAGTAGTACATTGCGACGTCAAGGCTGAGAATGTACTGATCTGCGTGACTTCAGCATCGGGTGACATTGCAAAACTCAGCGACTTCGGATCAGCAATTATGGATGTTACCGCAGACACCAATTTGCCTAAAGGTGTGGCAGGCACGAGACCATGGAACGCCCCGGAACAATCCCACTCATTGCAAGGCTTGGGAATATTCAAGGTTGATGTGTTCTCATACGGGATGCTTCTGTGGCGGTTTTTATGTCGCTCTTCGATTCTCCAGGCAATACAATCACCTCACCAGTACAGGAGAGAGGCTCTTATTGATGAGATCGAGTCCTTGAAGCGGTCTGACGAACTGTCCAGCACAGCAGTCAAGGAGTTGCAAGTTCAAAGTACCGAGAGGGGCTTAGAGGTCATCGCGGGATTGCTGCAGGAAATGCTTGCTCTGAAGCCAACGAAGCGGTGTGGTATGACACAACCAGTCACGATGCTAGAGCCATTACTCCACCCTCCACCAGAGAGCCCAACCTTGGTATCCAGAGAGCCGCCCACTACATCCAATTGGGAATCTAAGTCCACTGGACTGCCGAGTCAGCATCGGGAGACATCAAGTTCTCCTGCCAGCTTTCCGGATAGCAGAATATTTCCGGTTCCACCTGAGCCTTTTTACAATGAAGTAAGGATTTGGTCTCCTTCCCGCTCTTTTCACCGCCATTTTCCAGTGAAGTCTGACGGTGTTGTGACCAGTTTGATAGGACTTGGGAGATGTTCGAAGACGAAAGCCCTATTGTGAAGCAACAACTCATCACCTCTCTGAAATTCGTGGCTAATCAGATAAGTGAAGACGCCTCGATGGCAGCGGAAGCAGCCTATCAGCTTTCGGTATGCTACGTCAATGGGTTTGGTGTAGCGCCAGACTTGTGTGCGGGCTGCAGATGGTCCGTCCAGGCCGCGCACTTGGGGAGCAGCAAGGCGAAAGCAGATATCTGGAGATTGACGCGCGTCCAGCATTCTGCATTAAGGGAAGTTGATAGCCGACTTCAATCCTCTACCATATTCCACTGGCTCGGTGAGGCTACACGAATGGGATCAATCCAAGCCGCAAAGGATCTCAAGCCACTTGACCCTGAGAGCTTCACAGTCGCAATGTCAGCATGGAAACATCGGTTTGCCCTTATCCGCGTTGAAGACGAGATGCGTATCCCAAGCCATGCTAAGGTGCTGGAACTGGGCCGCAGTCTGACCGCAAGAGAAATCAACACCACCGCGCTCAACGATCGTGGTCACCATCTGATCCATCTGGCGGCCTCGTTAGAATTTCTCGATATCCTCCGGAAGCTTGTCGAGGATGGCGCCAACATAAATCTACAAAATGCTAAAGGCGAGACTGCTTTGCTTTGCGCTTGCCGCGCAGGAAACGCACAAGCCGCCTGGTACCTCCTTGGACATGGAGCTAGTGTGGAAGCTTCTACAAGCGGAGAAACTCCTCTACATTGGTTGATTGCCCTACCTGAGTCTGAAGTCGACCGTCTCGCCTGTGCCCTGATCGCTCAAGGTGCAGATTTGGAAGCTCAACACACCGAAACTGAGATTAACAACCTTGTTTTCGATATATTCCCTCTGGGTACTCCACTTGACTGGGCTGTTCATGCAGGCGCACTTGCTGTAGTTGAAGTGCTCATTAAACACGGAGCAGATCCCTTCAATGAGTGCTCGCAGTACAGCTCTCTCGTTAGAGCTGTGTCGAAACATGATTTCGTCGTTGTGGAGAAGTTATTGGAATCTCGCCATGCCACTTTAGAGCGTGTTGCGAGCATGGATACGATGGAGCAGACCATATTGTTCCATGCGATCTGCTGCAATTCCCTGTATGATAGAATCCTGGCGCATGGCTCCGGACATATGCTCGCCGCTAAGAAGACCATCGAGCTATTGCTGTCCAGTGGGTGCGAGCCTGATTCTGTTGACGGCGATGGTACTACGGCCCTTCATACCGCGGCGGGTTACTGCGATGTGGATTTCCTTGACATGCTGTGCAAACAGATCGGGTGGGACAAATTCGTCAATACGGCATGTGGAGAGCACGACCGAACGCCTTTGCTTCAAGCTATCGCCTCCCAAAGGATAGAAAACGTGAGGTATCTCGTTAAAATAGGCGCCAACACGTACCGCAAAACTAAGGGGCATACCCTGCTTCACATATGTGCGGGCGCCGGCGATGAGGACTTTTCAATACAAGTGTTACACGCGATTAGGCTCGATGGGAGGGTTGATTTGAACGAGAGGACCACGAATGACAATCTAACAGCTTACGAGATAGCAGTGCTACAGTGTCATCTAAAGATAGCAGACCTGTTGGTGGAACACGGCGCTGATGTCGCCTTTCTTGCGGACCGACAGCCTCCTCTATTCAGCAACATTATAGCAGACCCGACGTGGGATTCTTTCCGTTCGTTGCATTACTATCTGGAGAAGGGAGTCTACCCATTTGTACTGAATCCTTCGACAGGAATCACGGCGCTCCATATTGCTGCTTCTGCAATGGACCTTCTTGGTGATCCGAATACTGGAGATGCAAAGCTGGAGATGCTGCTCAAGGTCTTCAACGACGTTGAAAAAGTCAACGCTCGTACCAGAGCCCCGTCAGAGCAGGATGCGCCGCAGGGAGGCCAAACTCCGCTCCATTTCGCGGCGAAATTTGGTGTATATTTTGCAGCCCGGCGACTGCTGAACGCAGGCGCAGATTGGAACATTCGTGACAAGGGGGGAATGACTCCTGCTGATCTAGCTCTTCAGCAGCTTTCGTTGCTCAATCAATCTCAGATCAACACACCAAGAGAGTGGGTTAGTCTTTCGAATCTGAGGTCTACCCATACTTTATTGAAGCAAGCTATGGGAGAAGAGAAAGCATCTCCAATGTCGCCGGAATTAGAAGCACGAGACGTTGTTGTTGGAGAATATACACGGTCTAGGTTCTCCAGGCTTGGATTTAAGACCGAATGATCGCACCGGAGATTTGTCCGTTGCTAAATGCTTTGGGTTTTCACCCATCAATTTCCCAGTGTCCTAGCATTAGATGGGCTGGTAACTGCCAGGTGCTTTCAAATTCGAGCAGAACGTGGAGCTTGGGTCTAGCCTGGCACCCTTGCCGTGTTATTCAGGCATAGAGCTTTTTCAACGGCTTTACCACGTGCATGTAGAATTCAGTTGTGAGATCGGCATTGACCTGGTCATCTGCGGCCTCGAGGCGCGCAATCTCTCTCGGATCAAAGTTATCCCAGGAAGGCTCAGGTCTGTCGGTGATATGCAGACCTTCCACTTGGAAATCTCCTCGTAGACACAGTTTGACTGCAGTCCGGTATTCGGCACCCATTGCTGGCCCAAGTTCGCTTTCGCACGATTCAATCAATTGGTCTTGTACAGCGTAGACAGATGTCTCTTTTGTTACAGCTTCCCCTGCTCTCGCCCACAGCCCAATTTCAAGTAGTGTCACACCCAGGCTGTAGATGTCGAAGAGACGATGATACTTTACACGCCCTTCGCGGTAAAGTGGATGGGCATACACACTACTCGCCACATCTCCAGCTGGCTGTGTATTGTCTCGGAGGCGTCCTGGTCGGGTGAATTCGTATCCACTCAAATATGCCGAAGTGGGCGTAACTTTGGGGCCCTTTCTCGGCCAGAAGAGAACATTGTCGCTGCAGATACCCTTATGAAGCCAGTTGCTAACGTGCAGCTCGTAGACTGATTGGGCGAGGATTTGTGCCACACGGAACTTGTCTCCCAGGTCGAACTCGTGACTGATATGCTCGTCCTCGCTTTGAGGTAGCAGGTCGTACAGGGAGGTAGGCGACGCGACGGGAGCCCGTGGTTCGGGTGCCTTGTAGACGAGTCCATATCTTACGTGTTCGGCTGTCTCCACCGGCATCTTGATGAACCCAATGCAACTCAATGAACGGAGGCCCGGTGATCTGCTTTGGGCTTGGAGGAAGTAAGCCAGATCGTTCGTGTTGCGCTCCACCGCTGCTGCCATTTCTCCCGGTAGACCACTTTCAAAAACCTTCCACTCGATCAGCGTCGCTATCCCCTGCATTTCGGCGTCTTGCTCGTCCGTATATGTGCCGGTTGATCGACGTTGGAAAATCGTTGTAGGTCGAGTCGTCAGGCTAACACAACTATGACGTTTCTCCATGTTAGGTGACTTGAAAGCTTGTTGACTGAGTCCTGAAGCGCGATATCGCAATTCGGCGAGGGAGGCTATATCCACGTGTGATCGCTGTGCTGCCGCTTTCAGTGCCATCAACCGCTCGAGGTTTGTCGTTCTCAACAGCTGCGCGGCCAGGGCTTCGGCCAGGAGCTGTGCGTCCAGGGGCGATAACAAGCTGTAAAGACCGTCATTGAACTTTGTGAGTTTCTGGATCAGGCCTTCGAATTTCTCCTTATCACGGATCACCCAGTGAAGCTTCTTCATGATCGACAGTCGCTTCTGCAGTCCCTTCGCGTCCTCCAGTCGACGATCATAATTTCTGAGCAAAGCCTCGCTGTCCATAAGTTTCGTCGCCGCCAATTCCTCGAGTAAAGGCCTTTGAGCTGTGGTTTCATCTTGGACATCAACGCCGTACAACGTTGTGAGATCGTCGAGGTCTGTGAGAATCAGCCTGATGCTAGCGAGGGCAGCAACAACGGCCTGAAAGAGGCTTGTTTCCGAGTTCAATCGTTCGTCTGGCTCGTTGGTCTCTCCACTCAGACCCAGACCGTCGCCCCATCTTTTGAGTCTCTCTTGCTGAATGAGCAGCTCGGCATGGAGGAAAGACACGTCTTGGCCCAGACTCGTCGCCGTGGTGAAGACCGAATAGGCCTCCAGGGTAGTCTTGTAAAGGGTTATGCTGAGTCCAAGTGAAACAAGCACTAAACCACCAATAGTTGTTCCTGGTATCTTGGTGGACATCTTGGATAAGATTGAGGTTGAGTGAGTGTCAGGAGCGCATCGATTCTATTTGGCTCCGCTGTCAGAGGCCTTGAGAGCATGCATGGCAGTCCCGAACGTCAAACACGGCGGTTCTCTCCGTCCAGTGAGCGCTCAGTTTCTAAGTCCAGACGAAGTCCGGGATTGCATGGAGATACTGCTTTGACAAGAAGCCAGGTTCGAGAGTCTTCCGGCGAAGATTTTTAGCCAAAACTGATAGGTTATTATTATTTGACGGATACTACGCAGAAGATCTCCGTCAACTGAATGATTAAGGAATAGCGTATATATATGTTTGTGAGAGATTCTATTCTTGGAAACATAAAATTAAGAGAGTTGTAACGTGTTCTGTAATCTTTTGTAAAAGGAATTAACGTCTTAAAAGACGAAATAAACGTTAAGAGAGTAGAAAAGTTGCATCTGAGATTTTGATGTTCCTTGCCAAGCTTTGATAGTACTTACTACTACAGTAAATCGCGGAAGTATACTCCGTAATGGCCTATATAGTAATGTCCCAGATTCAGTAACACTGGGGATACTAAGAACAAAAGATTTCACAAGCAATATCCAGGCATTTTTCCACGACCAGCCAACCGTCCAAGCCAACCCCAATCAAATCACACAAAAACCTCCGTCATGAAATGATACTCAATCAAGCTCCGATCCTCCCTCCCCCTCGCCGTCAACAACCGACACCGATCCGCCAACTCATGCCCTATGGCGGGCGCACCACAGAAGAAAACCCCTACCTTGAACTCCTCATCATCACCACCACCTGCATCCCCAGCAGCAGCAGCAGCAGCACCATCCTCCCTCCCCTTTCCTCTCCTCCTCTTCAACAATTCCAGCATATCCTCATAATGCCGATCCATAATGTATGCCAGATTCGGTCTGCCGAAATTGGTCGGGTTGAGGAGCCCCGTGATGGGCGAGGCGGGATGGCTCTCCGTGCGGTGTTTCTCGAGGAGCAGGCGGAAGATGTGGGTGGAGATGTTTTTGCGCTTTTGCGTCACGTGGGTCTGGATGCGGATGTCGAGGTTCGGGTTGTGCGTCTGGCCCGGTGGCGGGCGAGAGATCTGGTTCAGCAGGTCGGAGAACCAGAGGAGATAGTTGCGGTCGCGCACGGTCCAGTGGAAGTCGATGCGGCGGTATTTGGATGGTGGAGTTGTGGGTTTCTCGGAGCTCGGATCGATGCGGTCGAGCGCGCTCTGCTGGGCTTGGTCGTCGGATGTGGGCGCCCGGTGTGCTGGATGCGCGGTTATGGAAGAGGAAGAGGTTGATGCTCTTCTTGATGTGCTGGATATTGAGGACGTTCGGCGGGCCCATCCTTCGTCCGAACTGACGCGTAAATCATGAAGAATACCTGAGAAGGGCGTGACGCCGATCCCGGCGCCCATGATAATGCTTTGATCGAAATCATAGAATCGCTGAGCTGGAGCTCCATACGGCCCGTCGATCCCGGCCCATTTCAGCTCTGAGCCATTTTCTTTCGTCAGGTTTTTCAGCTTCGAGGCCCAGTCTCCATCCGTTTTGATGTGAAGCTGCATTTCTCGATCTGTGCAAGTTGAGATCGTGAAAGGGTGCCATTGGAAAAACGAGATCTGAGGTACTTGTAGCAGGACGTATTGACCAGCCACATAGTTCCACAAGCGATGCTTGGGAATCGTGATTGTAACACGGACAGTATCTTCATCGAGCACTTCGACTCTAGCCGGTATGCGGTGGAAGCCGAGCAAAATTCGGGTTATTCGTTCAACGAGGACGAGAATAATTGGGATTGACAGCCAATATCCCAGCATGGTGAACTGGACTAATTGGGTAGTTCCATGGGCACACAGCAGTCCAAGTAAAGGAAACATCAACAAATGGCCTAGCTGGAAGATTTCATAGCTCCATTTCCTAACCTGCGGCATACTTAGGGCTGCTATTATATAGAATAAGATAAGAGATGTGAGACCACTCCAGCCAGGAAGAGATGCAATGTAGGTTCTGTATGGCCGGGGAACCGCCTCTAGGCCTAAAATTATTGCAACCTTAGGTTGTTGCGCGGGCCGACTACCATACAGAAATGTTCCCGTCAGATGGCCAATTGCGTGTACCGTTGCGAGGCATAGAGCGCAAATGGACATTTTGATGTGGAAAGACTGCGACAGATCCCAGTTGATGAAGCGGGAGAGGAGATAGAATCTCCTGAGGAATGTCGCCAGCCATCTGGACATGGAGATGACAAGGAAGAATAATGTTGGATACAAGGCGCCGGCGGACGTCTTCGCTAACACCAGTCCCCACCCAAAGGCTTGTCGATATTGCATGCCCGTAAGGTATTTGACCAACTGCCAGATTCCAAAGCCGAGTTGAAGTGACACCACTAGAGTCATGAAAACCCAGACCGGGCCGTGGACTTCCCAACGTGCGCGGAGTTTCCGACCTAGGGCAAGCGATTTCAAGTATTGCGAGGCCTCGTCTTCAACCTCCTTGTCTTGGATCAGAGAGGGCACCTTCCACGTCTTGACAATCTCGGCGAAATTCTCCCAGGGGATTTTGTCGGCTTCTGTACCCAAAACACTGCGGAGAAAGGCGTGCCGCTCTTTCTGGTCGCTGTCCTGATGATGCAGGTTATGTGGTGCTGGGGTAGGAGCAATCTCACTGTGGACCTGGTCAAGCTTGGACTCGAGTTCGAAGTAAGTGACGAAGCCGTCTTTGTCAATGTCGAGATCATTCAAGAAGTCTTGCACTTCCTCGTCGCGCAAGTACTGGACGTGATCATCAGCCATACTGTCCTTTGGCTAGCAGGATGATACGTTTCCGGCACAGCGGAACTCTGGAAACGATGGCGGGAACATTGATTGTAGACTGACAAACGACCAGCAAATCGTCATCCTTGAGTTGGTGACCGCAAGCCATGTCTTTATTATCTACAGCGCGTTTTCGGCTCCTGGAAGATGCTGGGGGGTTTAGATTCTTAGCATGGGGGGGTTCTTGAGGGATTCTTTGGGAAGGTTCTGAGGGCGGGAAAGGTGCACACAGAATGCAAAGCAATCGTTTGGGTCAGTGTTGTCGCATCATAATTGAAGACTGCTAACCAATCAGGTACCTAACCGACTACCCCTAACTACCGCAAACCTCCCCCCGCCTTGGGCGCTCGGAACGAGCAGATCCGCCCGGAGCAAGCAAATCCCGACCGGAACAGGCAAATCCCGTCGGGCAATACGAGTCAGAAGCCCAGTACGGAGTACTACGTACTGGCAGCGGAAATGGCGCCTTCACCCATGATTACTTTGACTCTGCAATAACATCACTGGCGTATCATGCTAACTACTACGTATGCAGTCTGTGACAAGACTACTGGCTTTCCCGCCCACTAACAACCTGCGAGCTGTTCTGGCCATCCGAACCCGGCTTTCAAGAATCCGGTGGTGAGTTCTAAGTGGGTGATGCCCCGCCCACATGGATTGGGAATGGGAAACTTTGCATCGTGTTACCGATCTCGTGGACAGTTCAGAACTTCTGCAGTGCCTCCATCATACTGATGGCAACCAGAGGCTCTTGAAATTCGTGTGGATTGTGTGAGAATTCTGTGGAGATTCTGTGTGGAGGTTGTGTGAATCTTGTATGGATTCTGTAGTGGGTTCTGCGGTGAATTCTGTGGTAGATTCTGCGATGGATCCTGCGTGGATCTCGTAGAGGATTTCGCAGATGATTCCGTAGAGGATCCTGTGTAGATTCTGTATGGACTTCTGTTCTATCGGACTTACACTATGAGATGGCGCTCAACTTGTTAGGATCTCAGGGGAGTGTAAGGGCGAGGAAGCAGTAGGGGGTTAATGAAATGACTTATGAAGCGTAAGAAACTAGAATCTATGTACAAAAAGAAGGATATAGGTAATAGAATAGCCTCTTTAGTTCTTTGATGCTGTTATGCGCGCCAAGCATGCCAAGCGCGTGTCTTGTGCACGGTATGAGAGCCAAGAGGACTCTGGTGGATTTTGCATCATCGTACGCAGAAGATTCGTTGTTCTACGCTTCAAAGGACTCAAGAGGATATCATACTACTTATATCCTTCTTCTTGTACATAGATTCTAGTTCTCGGCGCTCAATACGTCAATCCATCGACCCTCTACTGTTCTATTGCCCTTGCACTCCCCTGGGATCCTAACCGTAAGCTAAGACACTAATCATCACAAGCTAAGATCAAGATGCTAGCTTGTCAGCCACATTCTAGTTGTTGAAGTACCGCCCTGCTAGGAAGATACTGCCAGCTCTGTTGTGGTCTTCTTCGTGGTGTAAATATGTACAGTTCTATCTAGTAATGTCCTAAATAGGATTTCCTATGCCTTGGCACAGAAAATGAGCACACGTGACCGCAGAGTGGCGCGCCCGGCAGGTTAGCGCTGCACCCACAGCTGCTACTTGCATGCTGACTGCATGGCTGTATTACCTATCCCCTCCGTCCCTGATGCCGTTATTAGTGTTCTTGGCGTAAAATTAAGCTTTTTGAGTTGCATCTGATCGTCACAGCTCTCCGCAGCTCTTTTTTTGAATAAGTTTTCAACCACCAACCATGTTACGACCACAGCGAAATACGCAAATTCCTTTGAGATACAGAGATAACTCACCTCCACGAATATCTAGAGACAATGAGCAGCGAAAACGGCCCAAAATTGACTCTAAAAACGTTGATCGAAATAAAGTTGATCAAGCCTTGGCAGTGATTGCTCCGACGCCAGAATGCACAGATGAATCGTCGACACTCATTTCAACAGAACTTCCTCATTTTGAGGCCAATTACGTTCAAAATCGAATTGGAGCTCCTTAATACACTGATCTATCTGAATTGAGCTTTTTTCAGCTCTTTTTTAGCGATTTCGTGGTGGAAATGCTCTCTAAAGAAACTAATAAATACGCTGCATCTAAATTGCAAAATCCTTCTTTCCTTGAGAAATGTCACTAGGTACCTATTACGTTAGCAGAAATACGTGTATTTATAAGGATAAATCTCCATTTTAGCTTGTACCCTTTGATAGTACGAACGGATTATTAGAAACTACATAATCTAGGTTAATTTATAAGTCGAGATCGATTCAAACTTGTTTATCGCTTTTTTAGTACAAATAGTTCTCCTGCGCCTTTAAAAGCACCCTAGTTGTATCAAATTCAACGCATAACTGACCTTATTTAAACTGCTTATTAAAATTCCTTTTATCTCTCTTCTTATATCGCTATTAATAAAGCTATAATCGCCTTTACAGGCTATTCAAAATATATAATTAAGCTAAAGAATAAGTCTATTAATATAGGCTACAAACTATAGTATATTAGTGATTATAGATATATTTTGAGCTGATTATTTCACTCTAGAATGGATAAAGTTAAAATGCTTAAAAAAGAAATAAAAACAAGCTGGCTATATCTGTACTCTGTTAGGAGAGCTATAGTTAGGCCTAATATACAAGACGAAGCGTGAAGAAAAGGAAACGAAAGTGGGAACACAACGCTCTATATACATGTCCGTGCCCCTTATCTCGCTGAGGCCAGGTACAGACAACTGTGGGTACCTGTCGTCAGTGATAGCTAGAATAGCGGCGGGGAGCTGGGTCCGAGATGAGCTCTGTGAGCCATGGTCAGTGCCACAGGGAATATGGTCCTTGGCGTAGGTCGCGGGAGGATTCGTAACACGCTCTGTAGGCGTTAAGCGCACCTTATTAGCACCTATATTTGTGCTTGTTTTATGCTTGGCTAAATAGCTTCTAAAACAGCTTAAATTCTGCGTTTATTTAAATAATCTGTTTCTAAATATGCCTATTACATAGTGTCTTTTAGCAATAGAGATCTATTACATAAGTATAATACGTAAAAAAGCTGACAGATTTCCTTTACATCTTTAGAGTTATTTCAAGCAAAATGAGCTACTATAGGACTCTATAATAGCAGAGATTATTAATAATAATATTTTCTGTTTTATTTAGTAAGATAATAAGGCTGTTAGCATTATTTTAACTACTCACAGCCTTTATAAAGTTAAGGATAAAGTTTAATATACACAGAGATGCCCAAAAATTACGTCTAAAAATCAACGAATTCTACTGCTTATTTTTGACGGTTAACCGCTTAAGAAGCTCTTTATTCTAACAGCTATTAATGAATATAACCACTATATAAAGGGCGTAGACTAAGCTAATCAATTACGCACGAGTTTTATATATCATCGCAAGCAGAATTATCGAACGTGGTGGCCCTTGTTCTACTTCCTCCTTGATATTGCTTGCGTTAACGCTTATTTGCTATGGAAATAAAGTACGCGCAAGCAGAGTCATAATAGCTATAGGGTCTTTATGAGCGCCCTGTGCAATCAATTACTTCATTCAAATAATTCGAAAAAAGAGCAACAAGAAGAATCCCAGTCTTTACCCACTACAGTCCTTCAACGCCACCACAAATGGGTACGAGAGAAGGGCGACGGCCGGTGCGAATGGGGAAAGCTCCATCCACCAGGTTGTCCACGCAAGAGAGCACTTAAACGCAAATTTGGAGTAGATATTACAGAACTGACTGTTAATGGCGCCAACGAGGCTATTTTTGGCGGCTCTAAGAGCCATTGGAAGTGCAGTAAATGCCAAATTTGGCTCTGTATCCAAGGGGATTGTTGGCAACGATATCATCGCTCAATTGAAGCCAGTTGATAGATAGAATAGTCTCAATTCGCCGAAAATAGACTGTTTATTGACATTTTGGACCCCCTCAGAGCGATCGACAGCGCTAATAACGGCATTCTACACCCCTGTTCAGGGACGGAGGGGATAGATTTTGACACTAAGTTAGTGGCAGTCAGCTACTTTTGACGCACGACTCCGTAAATAAAATAGAAACATAATTGGTTAAATTCGTGTTGCGGTGATAATCGCGTTACACAGTGGCAACCACGCGCTGCGCACGGGCTTGGTAAGGGGTTCCACCCTGCAAGTGGTGTCCGAAGGTCCTCACTCATTGGGCCACGGATACTCCATACATACAGGCCAAGGCATATGTCCACGTGGCCGAATTCTTGAGCGACGAAGACATCCACAATTTTCAGCACCCACAACGCGAAAGTTTGGGTTATAGATCTCAAAGCTAGACGAGGCCTGAGAAAACAGTGATCAGCCATTCATGTGAGTTTGAGAGGTTGAATCGATCTTTGTGGAAGACGACTGCGAATTCTGAACTGGCTGTAATCGTATTAAGCCACTGGCTTAATAGTGAAAAAGAGACCTCGAAACAAAAGTGGTGTGTAAGTCTGATTGATTCTAATCGGTGGCTTACGTAGTACTGCCATTTGGCCGACTACTTGTGCTACCCTAACGTTACGGGGTGCTGGTGGTAAACCAGCAGGAGAGTCACGAATTTCTTAACACATGCCTCAGCCAAGATAGACTTCATTAGTGCCCTTTATGATCTTCGTTCCCGTCCCAGGTAGCTGGTTAGCACCCGTCTTCAAGATAAGATCGTATTATGCAGGTCGATTCCGCTCCAGTGACACTACCTGCACACAGACTGTGCTGAAAGTTTGAGCTATCAGAGCATCTACTGTGCTTAGAGCGAATTACCAAGATCGCCTGAGCTCTAGACCAATGACTCCCCGTGGTAAACGAGGTCGGTCTCATATTCTGGTGTCTAGTACCGGAAACTCCAAGCTAATATATCCTCAGCACCATCACTGTCACCACCACTACCACCACCACCACCACCACCACCACCGGACCACAGCCGAAGCTTCGTGCCAGGCATTATTACAAATCTGCCCTAGTCAGCTCGGCATGTTCTTGCATAGTGTGTCCAACAACAACGACGACCATTAACAAAATGCTAACAAACATCCACAATGGTCAAGGAAACAGCGAGTCACCTTCCACCAAATTAGGCAGGGCATTCAGAGTGAAACATCTTCTACTTAGGCGATCGTCGAGCCTATCACAACGAAAATCATCACTCACAGCGTGATTACAACCACTATCATCAGTTCAACAATCATCGTTAAGACTTTCACTCTCCTCCTTTTCTAGTGTTAAAATGATTACTGAGAAAACTCTAAAAGATCACTCACCCCCTTACAACCACGAGCATTATCATCAGTACTAACTAGTACTCCTTCAACCATCACTATACAATAATAACAGGCCCACTCCTCCGATACAGCGTCTCCTTCCTCTAGATGGATAATCCTGGCCGTTTTATTCTTGTAGACAAGCAAGGTGTTCTGAGTATAGAAGACTGTCTCAACCAATGACAAATTCACCCACAGTGTCTTTCCTCATTTTACAATATAAAGTCGGGGGAGTGTGCCCAGTTCATTGTGTCTGCTGATCAGATCACCGCCGAAATCGGCCCAACCAACAATGTCGCTAGCGACAGAATCTGCCCGGTTAATCATCCTGCAGGGGGGCTGATAAGATGGAAAGTGTCCGTTGCCTTCCCCGATGCAAGATCAACGTATACACCACCCTGTGTCCTCTAGAGAGTTTCAAAACTAGTTCACCGTCTCTGGGCAATTGATGGAGAACCTGGAGATGGAGAGAACATTCGAGTCCCATGATTTGTAATGTTCAGTCACCCATTTGTCTCGTTTCCCGTGGATAAAAGGAAGGCCTATCCGACCGCAGCATGTCCTTGAGATGTCGGAGCGCAGAGATAGACTCGCCAGACTAGGACCGTGGTTGACATGAACACCCTCCTCAATTAGACGGCATTGTCTACTTGCACTACGCAGTAGGGCTTGCGATAGAGCACTCCAGATCTCGGGTTTTGTTGCCAGCTAGAAGTAGCTTTGCAGTACCTTCGCCACTAGTTCTTAACACGTGTGCTTGGACTCCATACAGGTTCTGAAGATCGGAACGTGATACAGGTCCGTGTCGACCGATCCACTCCAAGCCAGCGTCGGATGTTGTACATAAATACCATGTTCCGTCTCAACCTTGCCTGCAACAGGACTGGAAACCACACGCCGCGACCATCACGCTATCGCTACCCCCCCTCTCTGACCACATCAACTCATAGCACCCAGCTCAACGGTTGCGGAAATGGGTATCTTGCATGGCGAAACTGGGCATCAAGCCCCGCTCGCAGCGCCGAATGGTCATGCAAAGCCTCCGCCATGCCTGGCAGGAATGAATATTTATGCTAAAGCGCAAGAAGAGTATGGGCTGATCAAGAAAGTCCACCGCACCTTGGCGCCGACAGGATGTACTCCCGATTTTTGCCAGGCCGGTCGAATGACACGGATCCATGAGCCAAGAGTAGGCAGAGATCGTCCCCTGGAGGAGATTCAGCAGGAAGCGGTTGAATTCCTTCGCGAATGCCGCGACCAGGATATCATCGAGTCCAACGAGCTGTTGGACCAACGTATCAAGACAGCATTGGTCCAGATCATGGAAACCTCAGAAGAAAAGATAGTCACCGATAAGCAAGGGAACCAGTTCCAAGGCATTGCTGGGGGTGCATGGGAACAGACCTATGAGGAGCTCGAGTACGGCTTGCGAGCCGCATGGAGAAACTCGAGAAGGTGCATCATGCGCTCCGAACACATGCACCTGGCGCTATGCGATCTTCGACGAGTCACCACAAGTCGGGAGATGGTCCACACCATCCTTGACGGCATGGTCAAGGCTTTCAACAGAGGTCGCATTCTACCCACCTGCTTCGTCTTCCCACCGCGCCTCCCGGGCAAACGTGGTCCCATGGTGTGGAACACACAAGTCTTGCAGTTCGCCGGCTATCGACAGGCTGACGACTCGGTGCTGGGTGACCCTGCCAACGTTGAGCTCACCGAGGCATTCATCCGGTTTGGCTGGAAACCACCTCGCAAACGAACGCGCTGGGACATCCTCCCCCTCATCGCCATGGCGGAAGGTGACCGCCCCTACATGGCCGAATTGCCCCCCGAACTGCGGAGGACTGTGTCCATTTCGCACCCGCGGTTCGAGCGCGAGTTCCGAGAAATGGACCTTTGCTGGGTCATGGCGCCAGCCCTCAGCAGGCAAGGCTTTGATATTGGTGGCAACCAGTACACCGGCTCCCCCTTCATTGGCTGGGTCATGGACGCTGAGATTGGCGTCCGCGACCTGGCCGACACCTTTCGCTACAACGTGCTCCCTGAAGTAGCCCAACGTCGTCGCCTGAGCGACGAGCCCGACACCCCCTTTGACAGCTTGCAAGAGTACCTGACCCTGGTCGCCTTGTCTCGAGCCCAGGCAGAACTCAATTTCGCCGTCTATTACTCTTTTCTCTGCGCTCACGTTATGATGATCGATACTATGACCAGTTCCATCAAGTACCAGAACTATGATCTCGATCGACAGGCTGTCGTCGGCTACCGACTTCCTGCAGACCCGTACTGGCTAGCTCCTCCTCAAGGTTCCATCGTGCCTATCTGGCATCAAGGCGGTCTGCCTAATTACCAGCCCAAGCCGATGATCTGCCGACATGTCCAGGATCCCGTCAAGGCATGGGAAAGAGAGCTCGAGCAGAAACGGAGAGAAGACGCCGAGACACCGTCCTAGGGCCTGCGAGGCGTGATCGACGAACACGGACGAGCTCCCAAGATCAGGATCTTCTCGTGCAGTAGCGGCGTTAATGCTAGCAAGATGGCCCGGAAGTTGTACAGCACTCTCGAGCGAATGATCGCAGACACTCATGACACGTTCGAGCTTGAGGCCGAAAAGCTCTCAACAGCCTGTCACTGGCTGACGTGACCCCAGAGGATGTGATCTTGATCATTGCCAGCACCACCGGCTCCGGAGATGTTCCGAGCAATGCCGCCAAATTTGTCAGGGAGTACAGCTCGGCCAAAGCCCTAGAGAAAGCGCCGCGCTTCTCGGTTTTTGCCAACGGCGATAGCACATACGGTGATACTTACAATGCAGCCGCCAAACAGATACAGGAGGTCATGTCCTCGATGGGCTGTCGGCCTCTGCTCGGCCATTGTTTTGCGGGCGATACCGCGGTGAAGAACCCCGACTGGGAATCGTTCAACCAGTGGCTTAACAACATTGACCATCTGTTCCTGGGTAACCTTCACAAGGTCGATCTTCCCACCAGCCTGGAAAACGTTGAAGACAAGACCACAGCCTTGAGAGAGATGCCTTTTGCGACCCTGGTGAAGAAGTACCGACCTCACCCCAACGGTATGGTTTGCGTGACGTTTGACATTGGTGACCGAGAGTACCACGAGATGGACCATTTGAAGTTTTTGGCGCCCAACCCTCGGGCCGAGGTCCGACGCGCTCTGAAGTCTCTCGGATTGCAGGAGAATGCTCCATTTAACTGGCACTCCGAGGACGCATTCGGCTTTTTGTGCCGCTTTGTCGATCTCAGCCGCCCGTTCAAAACTCTCGGCTGGTATCCCGGATTCGGTGATCTGAATGGAGAGGCGAAATGTGAGCTGAGAAACCTCGCAGTTTGTGATCTCCTAGACAGAGTCGAGTTCCCCTGGACAGACAAATTGGTTGAGGAAGCCTGTAAAGACATGGGCAGCGTCCAGCCAAGACTCTACTCGGTGGCCTCGTGCCAAAGAAAATCGAGTAATGACCTGGACCACATTCAAGAGGAGTCGAGCGGCAACTTGGTTGACGTGTTGGTCAAAGTCAACGACATGGGCAAATTCAGCAACATCTGGCTCCTCCAAGCCCCCATTGGAGCGAAAGCGCGATTTGGCCAGGCGAGCCCAGACACCTGGAGACTTGTGCGCGCCCAGCGACCTAACGCGCCTCTCATCGCCATTGCGACCGGCTCGGGCATGGGTCCCGTCCGGTCTCTGCTTCAGAGCCGCATGAGTGACCTCGAGTGGACCAGCGGCCTCGGCGGCACTCCACGGGCCAACGACGAAGCGAAAACGTTCACGAGCAAGCAAACCTCACGCAGATCTTCTGTCGGGTCCAGCATAGCGGTGCGTGCGATGCCCAAGTTGGTCAACCACCATGCCCACCTCGGCGTCTCCAACACGTCGGGTTCAATTCATCTTTTTGCGGGTTTCAAGACCAAAGATTCCATCCTAATCGACCACCTGATTCGTCCGGCGGCCAAAGCAGGCATTTTCGGGACTTTGGAATTGGTGCAGAGCAATCCAGACAAAATCCGGGTACAGGACCGTCTCACCGCCAACAGGGAGAAACTCGCCGAGCTCTTCAACGACCCAGGTTGTATCGTCTTCGTCTGCGCCAATGAGGATGCCGCCAACGCGGCCGAGAAGAAGCTGGACGAGATCGTTGGGTCAAGTGTACGCGAAATGCTGGGGGAGAGGTACATTGAGGAAGTTTTTCGAAGTCACCATTGAGCCAAACGGCCACGGCCACGGCCATTGTTGGGTTAGCGCAAATATCTGGAATCACTGCGGAGCTGGCAATTCAGCTCATTACTCTTCTCCGCGCTACTATGGCAAAGCTTGCGTTGATCTTCTGAGAGGGCCTATTGGCCAGGTTTCATATGCGTAATCCTGCGCTTCGCCTGCTTTTGATTAGTTAAGTTCTACTGAAATTTCGCTTCTAATCCCGCCGTACGGCACAGCCAATTGTACCTACCTAGTAGGTCTCCGCTCTCTACCCCCCTAGCTATCAAACAATTTGCTTCTCTACGTACTCTGCACAGCAGGTTGACAGCTTGTTTTGCTTGTGATTTCGCCTCTACCTGTTTCTTACGTGTTCAATATTTGCTGCGTGGCGTTGATATCTGCTATAAATTCGAATAGAAATCTGTACGTAAAAAGAAGAGAACAAGGAGAACCTTCAACTCAGCCGCAGTCTGACAGGTTGAAGTGCGTGACAACCCTTGTTGTTTTTGTGTACTTACTAAGTAGGTATTCGTCCAAGCGCCTGCTGACTCGGCACCTGTTGAGAGGTTT